TTATTTCTCAAGCATTAAATTATTATTGATTGGCTATTAAAATAAAAGTTGAACATGTTATTGCTCATGTTCATACTCAAAAAGGTTTAGCAAAATCATTTATCAAAAGGCTCGAATTGATAGCTAAACCGTTATTTAAAAATAAAACTCTCTCGTTTATGTTTGAGGACATGCAATCTTACATGCAAGCAACACTTATTCGCATATGACCCATGAGTTATCGAAATTATCTCATCTTTAATTGATTTATGGTTATGAGCCAATTATTTCTTGTTTAAGAATTTTTAGCATTGCGAGTGTATATCCTTAGTGCTCCTCTATAATGAAATAAAATGAGCACTTAAAAGAGATTGATAATATATGAATCCTCTTCGATAATTCAATCTCTTGATTCATGAACAAGAGGAAATTTTTGCAGCTCGATTTATCGACTCGTCATTTTGATGTAGTTTTTTCAATATTAGAGGGAGAGAATAAGCAAAATAAGCAATGGAAAATGTTGAAAAAAAATTACATGGAGTACTCTATCTTATATCACCTTGATTCTTGTAGAAGATAATGTGAACTAGAAGTTCAAAAGATAATTCATGTACAAAATATTGAAACCAACTCGCCAAATGCATTCTCGGATCTTAAATGAGTAACTAAAATGCATGTCCTCGCTGAAAATGCTCCTATTATAATTAATGTCCCGAAGGATAATTTATTAATATTATAGCTAACGAATTTAAAGCACGCCCGAAGCGTGGAAGACCGATCCGTTCCAAAGATAAAAATCCCTAAAAGAAAAGGGCAAGATGAAAATATTTACAAAACGGTCCAATATATTTCGATCATAGGCTTCCGGAAGAAGTCCAAATACTTGAGAAAAATCAAGAGATTTTGATAAATTATATCAATGTAGGGAGAAAATAGGACCGAAAAGAAATATCTATTGATAAGACTTTTGCATATAATATTGCAATTGATATTATGGATGAAAATAAGGATCCCGAGCCTAAATTATTGAAGAATATCGACATAAAGATGATTTGCCTAAATGAAAAGAGCAATCTAGGCAAGCATTATGTTCCCTTATAAAATAGTAGTTTTTTTAAACCTATAGCTAAAACACCCGAAGATGTTAAGCTAGTGGGATACAAATATGTATTTATGAGAAAAAGAAATAAGAAAGATGAGATTATAAGATATAAAGCAAAACTTTTAACATAAAAGTTTTCGTAAAGAATTGATATTGACCATGAGGAAAGATATTCTCCTATAGTGGATGCAATTGTCCGTTGTTATCTCATTAGCATGAAAAAATATATGAAAAACATTCATATGCATGCATTTAATGAATGTGATCACAGTTTATTTGTTCATTTAAAATGAAATAAGTATGAAAGTCCTAGAAGGACTTGACATGCCGAAGCATGTGATACATATTCTCGAGATAAGAATTCAATTAAATTATAGAGATCTCTATTAGGATTATTTTAGTATTTTTTTATTATTTTGGTTTTTAGAAATTCAATTTATACTTTTTATATTTTATTTTTATATCTTCTTTTTAATAATAACCCGTGTGCATATGATATAATCACTTCAATGATTATTTGTTGAAAGAACGTTATATAAAAAATAAGCCTATTTGTTTATATGTTTTTATTTGAAAAGGGGTTTGTTTTATATGTTGATAACCTAAATATTATTGGAACTTCCAAAGAGATTCCAAGTGTTATAAGTTACCTAAAAAGAGAATTTGATGTGAATATCTTGGGAAAACAAAATGTTATCTCGACCTGCAGTTCGAGCACTCGGAAAATGAGATTTTCATTCATTAGTCAATTTATATCAAAAAATGTTCTACAATGATTCTATATAAAGATCATTCATTGACTAGCCCAATGATAGTTCATTCACTTGATATCCAAAAAGACTCTTTTTGACCTCGAAAAGATAACGAAGAACTACTTGGTCCCGAAGTACCATATTTTAGTGCCACTCGGTGCATTGATGTATCTTGCTAATAATATTCGACTCGATATAGTCTTTTCTATAAATTTATTAGCAAGTCATAGTTCCGTTTCAATATAGAAACATTGAAATAAAGTTAAACATATACTACGTTATATTCGAGGAATAATTGATATGGGCTTATATTATTCCAATAAATCAAATATAAGATTAATTGGCTATACGGATGCGAGTTATTTATCTAATTTACACAAAGCTCGATCACAATCGATTATATATTTACATATGGAGATACAACTATATCTTGACGTCCTATGAAGCAAACCACGACTATAACATCTTCAAATCATGCGAAATATCAATTCACAAGGCAAGTCAAGAATGTGTTTTGCTAATATCAATGATCCATCATATCCGAGAGACATGCAGTTTATCTATCAACGAAAAGAAGTTTCAACAATATCATATGAAGATAATGTCGCTTGCATAGTTCCATTAAAGGAAGAATACATCAAAGTGATAATCCAAGTAGATTTGTTCACTAAGGTGTTACCTACCACAACTTTTGAGAAGATGATTCACAAGATTGGAATGCGTTATCTTAGAGATATTAAATAATGTCTTCAACGGTGCAAGGAATATTTGGAATATTGTATTCTTTTTCCTTCACTAGGATTTTTTTCCCACCGGGTTTTTTTTCTAATAAGGTTTTAACGAGGCATGTTCTTTGTACAATAGACATTCAAGAGAGAGTGTTATGAAATAATGAATGTCCATCATCATGTTCATCCACTTTTCATATCCCCACCACTCATGATTCTTAATATGATTCAATTCATCATTCAATATGAGAAATTGAAAGAGTGATGTAATTGATTATTCATAGTCCCTTCCAATTCTCTCCTCAATTTTGAAGCCTATAAATAGACTTGATTGTTCATTAATTGATGTACAAGTTTCCTAGAGAGAATAAGAGAAACTTCAAGTTCTTATCACTTATATTCATATTATAGTGATTTCATTTTCTTGTCATCCTTTTCTTCAATTCTTTTATTATTTCTATTTATTTTATAACATTACTCTGTTTCTCTCTCTGTTTTTTTTTTTATGTCTATTTCCCTTCACTTTTTTCCTCTTTTCTTTATATCTATGTTTTTCTTCATTTTTACGTCTATCTCTTTACCTTTTTTTTTTTTTTCTCTCTTCTCTATATCTATATCTTATTGTTAATTTCCCTGCTGCGGAACTACAAAGCTGTTCGAGGCTTGGAACACCACTGCCTCTGAAAAAAAAGGTGCCACTCCAACTCAGTACAGCACTTCTCGAAAACTCCCTGCTAACCTTCTCTTTTTTCGATCAGGTGTTCATATGTGGATTTAGTAGTTGGTCAACAATACTGTAGATTTCACGATTAGCAAAACTGAAATTACAATTAAAAGACGAAGGAGCTCGATTGAGAAAATTCCAAAACTTCGACGGTCAAGTTGAGACAACAGAAAACGTGAATTTATCCCAAAGATAGGCAAAAAGAACAGGGAAAACAAAAGGCAGAATCAGCTGAAACCAACATATGATTCCACACTCAATTGCCGGCTAACATTTTCAAAACGCAAAACAGCAAAACGTGTAAACGCAAGATTTTGTATTTGTTGAACGCTACACAGGCTAATGCCATACCAAATATTCAGCATATACGCTTGAATTCAACACCAAAGATGATTTACTTACTGCACAACGGCAGCAACAGTGCTGGAAAAAAAACAACCTAAAGGTATAGGATATGAGCAAAATTTGACAATGGTTCTCATAAGCTCAACATCTCATCGTTGTGCTCACTCAAGCAAACAGATTGCCCATTTCTGCACCTAACTAATGCACCATTTATTTACTGGTCCACACTGCATGAGTTGCCTTAGTGGGAACCATGATGGAACAGCAGTATTACTGTGAAACGAGTTAGAGGAAATAAAAATTCCTCTCACACTGAACATAAAAAAGGAGCCACATTCAAAAGATGAGTCTCGCTTTCAATTAGTGGGGAATTCAAAGAAATTTTCTGAAGACCTAATTATCAGAAGGCATCAACCAAAAAGGATGGCCAGAAAGGGCACAGAGATGTGAAAAACACTGAAAATCACATGGGTCTATGCATTGCAAAGTTGCAATAAATACGCAGAGTATCTTCTTCAACACAACCCCTAGGGTTCAATAAAGCAATAATTTACTTATTAATAAACAGTAAACCACCATGGCAACCATGGTAAAAAAAAAAATAAAGTTTCAGTGCTCCAAATGTGGAGATCATAAATGATCTAAATGCGACCATTTCTGGAAGATGGAACTTCAGAGACTCACAATCATACAGTGAATGGAGTCAGAGTTTCATCTTATTAACATTCTAGACAAATTCTCAAATATGTTTCTTCACAACAGGAAAAGCGACCAGAAAGAATGGAGCAACATGGATAAAGAGCATGTCACTGCTTCAGAGGTACTATAACGAGCAATTAAACTCACATATGTGATTCATTTACTAGATGGACTCTTACAAACTAAGAAAATATAACAAATTCAAGAGTGTGCAAGACTCATCTCACACACACACACACACACACACACACACACAAAGAAGAAAAAAGGCTTCAAATGATATGATCTTCCGAATTCCAATCACATTGGCCATTCGATAGCACAAAAAGTACGATGCAATATGTGCAAAATGAAGGAAAATGTTTCATCTCGGAATTAGACCTTGATTAACTTCAAAATTGAAGGGTAAACTAACAATTACTGACGAGCAATGTCAATCATGTCTCATATCCTCAATTAACCATCCTAATGTAAATCCTCTGTAATTATATCAAATAACTTAGCATTCTTTAACAAAATTTGAGAGAAAACATTGGAACTTCAAAACATGCCAGAAATTAGTATAAACCAAAATCCATAATAAGGCTAAAAAAACAAAGCCAAGCAGAAAGGTGACCATCCAACAAAACTGAAACATTTCTTTCAATGATAAATAAACCCTAACCTCCAAATCACCGCCTCCTCGCAAAGCAAACATAAACCACTGCAGCTGTAACAACAACAGCACCTACTGACCCAATTGCAACCACGGGTGACTGCACCTTAAACCCCTTCTCCCTACTCTCAATCTCAATCCCATTAATGACCTCCCTAGTTCTCTCCTTCAATCCACCAACCACTTTTTCCGCTTCCTCTGTCTTCTTTTGTAACTCCAGCAGCTTCCCTTCCATTTCTTTCACCTTCTCCTCTGACTCCCTCAAGTTCTCCTCCAACCTCTCCTTCTCCACCACTTGACTTTCCAACTCCTTAATTCTCTTCTTACACTCAAAATTCTCCGTATCTTTCTCACTTATTTTTTCTCTCATCTCCTCCTCAAGCCTCACTTTCTTACTCTTCTCCTCAATCTCCTTCACCTCGTAAACCCCAATTTTCCTCTCCAATTCCCTCACTTTCATCTCAATCTCTGCTTTCTCCTTCTTCAACTCCTCAATTTTCACTTCCTTCTCGCTCACCACCCTCTTCAACTCCGCAACCTCCTTATTCGCTTCATCTCCTTCACTCATCGCCGAAATCAAGTCATGTTGAAGCCTAGAAACATTTGTTTCAAGCTCTCCAGCTTTCCCCGCTATCGCTTCAAGCGTTCTTTGGGTCTCCTCCGACTGCTCAACTTCCCTCTCCAACTCCGAAATCCTAAGCTTCAGATTTGAATCCTCTGATTTCAGCGATTCAATCTCGATCGTCAATTTTGCGAACTGATATTTGATTTCTTCATTTTCATCAGCTAGTGAGTGCTTCTCGGTCTCTAAAGATTCGATCCTTTGCTTTAGCTTGGTTTCATTCTCCACTTGATCGAGATCGCAGAAATCCTCTCCTGCCGTCTGATCATCCTTGACACCGTTAGTCATTTCCGTCTCATCTGCCATTGCCTAACCCTAAAATAACACAGAAATCAATAATAAACAATCAAAATTAGAGTGGAAAAACTATATACTGTAGCAATTTAACTACACACATTCATACTTAGATAGAGATGATAGCACTGTTTGGTTGCCGAGAATGAATAGAAAGAAAAAGAAAATCAGATTTTAAACGAGAACTTTCTATTATTTTGAAAGAATAGCGTTTTCCCGGAAACCAAACAAGAAGACAGGATCTCCCTAGGAAATCGGGGAGAATTTCCTTACAAAATTATTTCTATTATTTGTTGAAAAGTTTCCAGAAAAATAGATATTCTCCAAGAAAGGATGGGATGGGGAAAAGGGACGAAAAAAATACTAGACCTTTGCTTTTTGACTCTGGACTCAATGTAAAAAAATTCGATTCGCTCATTAGGGTTTCTGATGTTATGATTCCTTTTTTTCTATCTTTGTTTCTTTAATTAAAATTCGCCAGAGCAATGGACGGCTGAGGATGATTGTGAGATGCACGTGATTAAAGGTGTTAGGCCCATCCCAAGATTCGGCGTTAAACCTAATAAGTTGGACGGGCTTAAGCAGCCCAGCCAGACCTAGTCTGATTATATTCAACAAGGTGTTTTGGGTTTGTGGTTTATTCCTTCCCATGAGCCTTAATTAGGAAAGGAAAATGCTCTTTTCCACTGGATTTGGTGAGTCTCTTTCTTGGATTTTCACAAATTACAAAAGATTCGAATTTATATATGGTTTTTTCGGTGTGGTATTTATCTGGTTATATAAAATGTGCTTGGAAGTGCTATTGTTTTAAAATGATAAAAAGAATATATTATAATTTCAATTTTCATAACCGAAAAAAAATCTGTACGTTTTGTGAGACGTGGCAAAGTTAATTAGTTGAAATTAAGATACTTAAAACAGCCATTTTCAATTCAGACTGTAATATGGACAATTGAGGTATAAATACATACAGTTTCATTATTATTACATGGAACCTTGGGTTTTCATCAACTTTCCATTCTCTAATAAATAAATATCTTAGAATGCTGCAAGAGAGTAAGCGGATGGTGTACTTAAAAACCAGCCTATTTTCCAAAGCGGACAGCAAAGAGAAAATGAGGATGTGGCCGTACAATGCAACATCACACGTTATTAGTTTTTTTTTTATTATTATTATTATTAAGCACGACTGTAATTATTTTGGCCAAAATTGACAATTGTTGTTAACTTTTACGTTAATTGATTATTGTCTGAAAATTAAGAGATATACATTGCCAATAGGGCTTGTTTTGGTTATTTCGAGGCACTATAATTATAGTGATTTCAAATTACAAACTATTAAATATTTTTATTGTATTGCAATAATTTTTCTTATTACCTAGTAATTTAGTTAATTATCTCATAATTATCTTAATTACTAATATTATTGTATAATTATGATTTAAAATAAATATTATTTATTTTGTGCAAATAAGTGATTACAAACTGAATAAATCAAATTATCTTGTCTTATCTTTTTTGTAATTTAGCTAATAACTTGTAATTATGATAATCATGAACAATTTAAGTACAAATATTTCCTTAAAAAGAATCTCATTAGCTAATAAAAAAGAAAATATTAAATTGTAAAGAAAGCATTTGTAAAATCTTAAGGATTAATAAATATTTACACTTATTACATCCTACGTAACATTACTTTATAAACGTGAAAGAATTATAATGCCTTAAAATACGGCATAGCAAGGGACGCACAAAAAATGAAAGAAGAAAATAGGATAAACGTGTAAAACAGAACAGCAACATGTAAAATCCTTCATAATTAACCGTTCATTAGATCTATCTAAGCCGTGACAAAAAGAAAAAGGAAAGATTCTAAACACAGGCAAACCATAAGAGGATGAAATCTTTTTACCAAAGCTATTACAATTCTCTACAAAATGAAATAACAATTCCTATAACCATATATATGTCAAAAATCATTCCCTTTTTTTTTTTAACTACTAATTGCAACCTCTAATCTATCCATTCAGATTATGAAGGTTAACTATATCGGCAAGAGGAGGTAAAAGATTAAAAAAAAAAAAAAAAAAAGGGAAATTTTCCTCCCATCTTTAAGATAAAAATAAAATAAATGAACAAAAGGTCAAACAAATTAATTATAAAACAAAAAAATGACATCGACGGACCCTCAAAGTCATACAAGTTGAGCGTCCATGCTTTAACCTCCAAACTTCCTCTTTTCCTTTTCTAATCCTTCAAGAAAACCAGCAAGAACTCTCATGGCATTGATTTGACACTGCAAAGCCATTATATAATCAGCAGTCTCTTCAAACAACTTTTCTACCCCAAACGACTCACCTCCTGGTACAATCCTTTGCAATGCCACAATCTTTCTCTCCACTTCTGCTTTCTCGTCATCTTCACCACCAGCCACTGTCAACGCTTGATCCTTTTCTTGAACCTTTAACATTTCACCTCTCTTTCTTCTGCTTCTCTTGTGAACATCCTCTGCTCTCTTGCTCCTTTTCAAACTAACTAAAGATTCACGCTTTGCATTACCCATCTCAGATTTTTTCAGGGTGGTTTTCCCTTCTTTATGAAATATGGGTATGGTTACTTGGTTTAAACTTTTCTCCATGGAAACAATCCTGTGAAGAGAAACAAAACAGGAAAAAAAAAAAGGCTTGTAGACAGAAAAAGAAGAGAGAAAGAAGGGTTATGTTATGTTTATGTTTATGCGTATGAGCATTGTGAGCTAGCGGCTTTAGGCTATGTATTGAGGGAAGGGTGTGGAATTATTGGTGAGTTCAAGAAATGTCAATGCCAACGAAGATGGGCCCATTTTTATTTGGCTTCCCAATTCCTTGTTTTGGACTGTAGCGGAAGGTGATACATACGGACTAATGGTGCGTGTTCATGGTGAACCAAGAGGTGAAAACATGTGACCTACCTCGTGGAGGTACGGAATAATTGCTCTATAAGTATATCAAGTTTTAAGATTTTTTCAAGTAAGTATGTAAATTTTTTTTTATTTGAGTATATTATTTATTTGCAAAACTATCAATCAATTAGTTTGATGACGTATTTTTTGCTTCAAACTACTAGGTTATAATTTTGTTCTTTCATTCTTAAAAAATACTTTTATTGTTATCTATTTTTTAATATGGTAATAATTTGGGTATTTCCTATAAAAAAATAAAAAATAATAATTTATAAGAATAGTTTTCTTCAAAAATAAAAGGTTGAAATTATATTTAAAAGTTTGGAACAAATGACACATCATCACATAATAGAATAGTTTACAAAATACTTAATTGATAGTTTTTGAAAATTTGATATACTTAAATAAAAAAATAAAATTCATGTATTGGTTTAAAAATATTAAAAAATAATGCAGTTATAATACAATTAGCCGATAAAAATATTGTCACGTACACTTTAAAAGTATGTTTCGAGTTTGGATCCAGGAGAAATTATAAGTAATTAATAAATTAGGTTAGTAGAAACAAAACATCCAAATATATTCTTAAATCATTACTGGTACGAGAGGTTAGAGGTTCAAATCATAATATATTAGTTTTTTTAAGAGCCTTGAGAGTGTAAGTTAAAAAATAATACAGGTTTCATAAATTGACTTTTTAATTATGTTTTAATTTTCATGTTTATATTTAACCATTTCCTTATAATTGTTAAAGATATTTTCAAATCATTTTTTCTGTGACAAAGAAAAATTTCTATAGAATTCTGAGCAAGATATCTAAATTTTGTATAAAAAATCTATTTTTAAAAAATATATTAAGAAACAAAACCCATTCACCTTATGAAATAACAACTCAAAAGTATACAGTACACAAATAAAATCATAAATCATCATACAAGTTCCATGTATTGACTTTTTAATTCATATGTGAATCAAGTTTTTATTTAATTTTTTTTATATAACAGTTAGAATATATTTCCAGTTAACGTTTTGTAGTATAAAAAATTATTTTTGTATCGAAGTAAACTATCTAAATTTTGTAGTAATTTTCTTAAAGATATAATAGAACAAACAAATCCTTTTACAAAAAGTAATATCTTTCCGATGCATGGCCGTGGTTGTGATGGTTGGGCCGCTTGGGCGGGGAATAGAAAGTACAAGCCCACGCGCAGATAGGACAAAAAACATTAAAGATTAAGTATACGATAGCAAGTAAACCTTGGATGATGATCACCTGTGGGATAGGCTCCATAGAGAAGAGAAGAAGGAAAACGGGGTCCACCGAACAAAACAAAGGGCAGAGAGAGCACATGTGATCACATGATTTTCTTGAACTTAACACCACCCATGTGCATCCCCTCTCACTCTCTCTCATATGATCTACACCACTAGCTCATTACCATGGTAACCACGTGGCACTTTCCCGAGGGACCCGCCTTGAGTCCCACGAAGAAAACTGCTTTTTTTTTATAAAAAAAAAAAAGTTATGAAAGTGGGAGCTAGAGTAGAGTTAGCGGTAGTGGTGGTGTACTGGTGGTGGTGGTGGTGGAGGGAGGCAGGTAAGTGAGTGGTGGTGTTTCCAAGAGGGAAACCAGGAGGTGATTTGGCCATTGGGATTGTGTGAGAGAGATTTTGTGTGTTGGGAATACGGGGCTCCATGTGATCAGAACCACCTAACCTTTTGTTGGTTCTACACGCTACAGCCGCTGCTTCTTTTCTTATTTTTATATTCATACCATACAAACTACACATTTTCTTGGATCAAATCCCACATATCCTCTATATCTATATTTTTCATTTTTCTTTGTATTGATTCCGTACTCATTGAGGTACAAAATGACCAACTAGCTCCATTAATATTCTCCTGTACATTGACATTTATCATCCTTTTGTCTTCTTCAAGAGTTAATACTTGCTTCCCATTCTCTTATATGTAGATAATATATATGATCCTATCAGTTCATTTTGGAAGAAAAATGGGGTGTTGGCTTCATATAAACATAATTCAGGGAATGATCGCCCTTTGTCAAGTTTGAAAATTTTTCTTATCACTGTCGGCACCGTTGGCTGTGTACGCTTTTAATAAAGAGCTCTACAGTTGTTTCCATTTTCCCAAAACCAATAAAAAATAAAGCGAGTCAAGTGATTATGAACTTTATGTAGGCATAAATCTTGGGTGAATATTGGTAAACCGAATGCCATCTAATCATGCAAAAATGTAGTGGCAAAGTGGGACCTCCTTTGATAGGGTTTTATTGGGACAATGCATGCATGCACATGGACCCCTTAAGGGGACAGATAAGTAGGGTTTGATGTATTGAATAATGATGGAGGCAGTAGCACTAGACACATGCACATCCAATTATATCAACCCATTACCACAAGAGGAATGGTGTGGGAGTCAGGTGTGGTTGGCGGATGGCTTTTACGGCAACTCATTTAATCCCACTTCTCTTATGTCCGTAAATTTTATTTACAAGGGTACAAGACAAAGAACTAAGATATTCTCATCGCGGGTCTCAAATATTAAGATTAAGCTTCTCCAATTGTATCTTAGCTACAAGCAAGACAGGTTCATTTAGATGTTGTTCGGTTAAAAAAAAAAAAATAGAATGGAAGGCATGAGAATGAAATTCTTATTTTATAGATATTTGGTTGAAAAAATAAAAATAATTTTATTTTTATGTGAAAGGTAAAAATAAAAATAAAGAATGAGAATAAATTTTTTTTTACAATAGATATATTTTATTTGTATTTTTTTGTGTATCAATTAATATTATTATCACCACTTTCAATTTACAATAATTATAAAAAATAAATTATTATCATTATAATTCTGCTCGACCACTGCCACCATAATTCTTTTTAATGTCATTTTTCTATGGTGATGCCATGGTTTTTTATATATATTTTATTGTTATTAATATATACTAGTCCACTGTTACAACCACATCACTTTCTCCTCTTTCTGTAGTAGCATCGAAGTTATTTTTATAATTTTATTATCGTTATGATTGATAAAAATATTTTTTAATTATTGTTTTTATTTTTTAAAATTCAGATATTAAAATTTTTAAATTTTATTTTGATTTCTAATTATTATTTCAAATACAATATTAAAATAAAAATATTATTTTAATTTCTTAATTTTTATCTCAATTCTTATCTTTTATTTCTGATAAATAACCGACGCTTTTAACACTTCAACAAATAAATTCACCTCGAATTTCCTCAATCCACAATAGCAATGGATAGAGCTGTCAAACCCCCAGGACAGATGGAAGAATGTTGAGAACTTCGCTCGATAAGAGTACGTCACTAGACTCTAATTGCCATTTTTGCCTGACAGTGTGATCAATTGCAAGGCACCAAAACTCTCATGTATGTTCGTATCCCCTTGATTATTGATTGCTAGCCAGGAGCGTTAACTTTCATCTCACGTGTAAAAAAATTCTATACAGGTAAACACTGTAAATGGCCTTTTACAAGTGAATTGACATTGAGATTTATTATGAAAAACGTGCAAGGGCCGCCGGGCCGGGCTTCGTGCGACAATCAGTAATAGAATTTATTGTCTCGATGATTTTCTTTCATCCTTGTTGTTAGCTAATGTGACTGGGTTAGTTTTTCCCTGATTTAGTTTTTTATTTTATTGACTTGGGTTTAGTTATTATTCATCACATAAAGAAAATATAATATTATTCATTACAATATATATAATAAGCCGTAGTAATATTCTACATGTGAATGCATTTTTCAAAAACAAAATTAAAAAAGGAGAAAATGTTTATTAATTATTTGTATATAACTAAGAGCCTCAAAACGTATGATAAAGAAAAAACAGAAGGATGTAAGATGACAGAATGAGAGAGTGACAGAAAATGAAAAAGAGAAAAGGGGAATTATTTCCATAAAGTTTGTCTATGAAAAAAGCAATTCGATCTAGGCCGCATGTCTCTTTTGGACTGTGCTGAGGCCCATATCGTTAATAGGTGGGTGCACTACGCGTTTTCAAGTCAGGTTTGTATAATTTCCATTTTTTGTTTCATCGATGACGAGAAATCACTTGGGTCGGCCTATTATCGCCAGGCTACAAGTCCTCGGGACCAGAAGCTGCCCCTAACCCGCGTACGAGGTCCATCCATGGCTCCAACGGTAAGATTACGCCTGACACCGGAAAGCGGAAAAACAAAAGGTAAAGGAACAATATCGCAGGGAACGCAAATTAAGACCTTTCGGAAACTGAACTTTGTTTTCTTTGCTACCACTTTATAATTTGAATTCTTTTTTCAGAACTAACCATCTTGTTTTCCAATGTCAGCAAACGAGCACCAAATCTTGCGTAGAAGGGGAACAACCAATGCATATGAAGAACAGGCACGAAAGCATCGCGAATATAATATTATTTATAATATGAAGCTGAAACAAAAGAAAAAGTCATCATGGCATTGTGCCGTATCCAATAAATTCCACATTATATCAGAGCCCGACCGAATACGTATAACGATCTATTTTGAGGTATCCATGGACAAGAGACAAACAACACCGATTCGGAAGAGTTGCATTAGTGAGACATGATGTGTAATTAAATTTACTAATTTATGGTGTTTTTTCCTTTCTTTTAACTTCTCATGAATGAAAGACATTTATAACTTCTCGCGATCAAACGTATTTTCCAACAACAAAGGTCGATTCTTTGAAGAAAGCATCCAGCCCAGTTTTTCTTTTTTACAAAACAATCCACCAGATGAACCTCCCTGTATTCTGAAAGCAAATTTTCTATAAAGAATCTTGCTCTACATGATGAATTTTTTCACTATTAGACATGAGACAAGTAGATCTTCTGAGTCCTTTTCTAGTACATCCTTGTCATACCATATTGAACAGTTCCAACCTTTCTGTGAGCAGCTGTAGAAGCGGCTGCAGCAGCGGCACTAATCCCGCCATACTGACCCTTGGCCTGCATCAAACTCGTGTCAATCATCACCCGGTCGTCCACATGCTCTACCTTGTTCACTCCTACCCTTGTCATGAAAAATGGGTTGGAGTCTATGTTGATTGCAACATCTGGTGAATATTTGGCTGCCATGCCACATTGCTGGACTTGCTTTTGTGAGGACAGATCTCTTTCAGCTTCCATGGTAGATCGCTCCTGCTTTCCTGTTTTGCGGTAACAGTATGCAGAAGGGACAGTATGCAGAGGAAGGGCTGCACTTCTGATGTATGTTCTCGGGTCATAAGCATCTTTCATGATGCTTCCATTCTCGTATGGTACAACTGGCCCCACAATCTTTCCAGGTTTAGCTAGAGAGGCAAATTCAATGAATTATTACATGTGAATTGTAGAACGAAATTCAGTTAGTTGATAAACAGTAGGCAACATGAAATTGAGTACCCAGTGGAATTCTCTGCTGTGCCTGTAAGGTCCTTGATATATTTATGGAATTTCCTTCGGAGTCTCTGGGATTTTTGTTGTAGGCTTCCTCTGCAGTGTGCCTGTCCTTGAAGGAAGCAAGGTTCTGTTGTTCTTTGGAAGGGATTGAGCTTGAATGTACAATGGTAGACCTGTACATAAATTTCGAAGGTCAGAGAAAAATTAACCGACTACCAGTGAATACTTATAAGCCAGGGGAGCAAGTGATAAACAAGGAGAGCGATGAATCCTCAAAAAGAGGAGGGGGAATAAAAAAGAAAAGAAGAAAGAACATTCAAATCTACAAGATTTGTAGCCTTGCTAAAATCCAGAAAATAAACTCCCCCAAGAGTCTTTGAAGCACAATACAAAGAAGCAGATATAAAAGTTCTCTGTACAGAGACAAACCCTCCAAACCATCTACACACACCAAACAACTGCAACACCACACATCAGGACCAATAATCTAACTTCAAAGATTGCATGCATCAATCTGTTCATCCTTCCAACATTTGCTCTCAATTCCTTCCTCACCACAAATATAATCTAATAGCCAACAATTCAGTGCAACGTCAAACCTATAATTTCAATACAGCTGAATTACTGCCACCACAGTCATAACTGTTCATCTTCAACTTGAGCTTGTCCCTACTCCTCTATGCTCTCAACAATCAGTAAAGACTCAAAAGAGTTTCGATGAAACTGAAAAAATGCAAAATCTAATGATCATTACAGCAGCATCCACTAAGACCATCACCGACTTTCTCCAATCAACAACTAATGAAAACTTCAAAGTTCAGAAGAAACAATGCAAGATCCCATGATGATTAAAAAAGTAACCAATTAATCAGTACCTCTCTCTGATCCCTAACACAAACATGACCTGCAAAAACCGAGACAACAAAAACAACAAGATCGCAGCAAATAAATAAGAAGACTGCAGAACAACAGGCCTGGATATATTTACCTCGGAAGAGATACATGCTTTCTTTCAAGTGGAATTACGGGCCCACTTTTACCAACATTTTCCTCAAGATGTGCAAACTGCTTTCGGAATTGATCAACGGCACTGTTACGCCACCAAAAATCAGAAGAAAGTGGAAGCAGAAAGATAGTTGGATAACCCCAAAAAAAAAAAAAAACAGAGGAAAGAAAAAAGTCCCAAAAGCTAGAACCTTGGATAAAGAAAGTTAGTCCTCTCAGTTCCATTTACGTAGTCCTTGAGAAGTTGAGGATGGTATTCCAGTATCTCCCGAAAAATTAGCTCTCGTATGTCCTCCTTTGTAACTCTTCGCCTCTCAAACTCAAACTCCATCTTTGTTATTGGCTGGCAGGAAGGCTCCCTCTCAACTTTAGCCAATCCCTTGAAGTAAGGATCTGCCAACGCCTACAAAATATAAGCAGGCCAAAAGAAGTAACTTATTAGCCAAATTAAAGGATCAAGAGAGAACAACATGCAGTGATATGACTGTGATGCAGAAAAGACAAGCAAAAAGGTTAAAGTAAAGAGGAATGGTATAAAAGCTCGGATAAAGTTGATAATTTATAGAGGAGGACACCTCTTCAGCAGTTGGCCGGTCTTTGGGGTCAAAAGCAAGTAGCCTTTCCAATAAACGTAGTGCCAAAGGATCTGCATTTGGAAATTTCAGTGCAAGTGGAACTGGCTGTTTTTTCCTCATGCTAGTTAAGTATCTCCTTGCCTTATCATTTCGAACCTGGATTCATATAAGAAAAAAAGATATAATACCATAAAATATACAAATTATGCTCGTGTTGTGTTTTTAGGGTGTGCGCCTGCATTTGTGGGGGAGGGGGTGGGTGGGTGGGTGTTGGGGTACAAAATTTATCACAACTTTGCACTTACCCGAGAGATTGTATCTAATGACGGTGTACCAAGTAGATCGGTCATCAAGTCCAACTGGTGAACGACATTTTTCCCAGGAAAAAGTGGTTTCCCCGTTAGTACTTCAGCAAAAATGCAGCCTATACTCCATATATCAATTGCTGGTGTATACTGCAACAAGATGCCAATGAAAAAAATTAAAAAACTGTAAACATGTTATTTTGAAAGAAGTAGAAATAGACTATACAGTTTTTTTTCACAGAACAATAACTCTGCTTACGATAAATACATTGAGAGAAAACCCTTTCTGGCTCTTGCCCTCAGAATTATGAACCAACAATCCAAAACAAACTCATCAATGTAGGATGGAGTTTACAGATGTGACTACACCACTAACAATTTAATAGTAGAATTAATGGTGTCTTTTAGAGAATTAAGAGACCACCATAGCTACCATTGCTTCCTCATTCTTTTCAGAACAATAATAGTATCACATCTCAGCATCAATGCTTAATTAAAGGTTCAATTTTCAGCATTAACCCAAGAAGATGGTTCTTATAAATCATTTTCCATCTGCAAACCAGAGCATAACTAACATTTTTAACTACACTACAAACTGTTCAAGCCTAGGTGCTCGAAATAACGTGGTTATACCTTAGAGAAAAAGGACCCACAGAGTTCAGGAGCTCTATACCATCTTGTAGCAACATAATCCTGTAAATGCACAACAAAAATTTCAAAGTAAATGCTCTCAGTTCCTATTAGATTTATTGAGCAAACATAAGCATATCATGGATCTAATATGTTAGAAGAGTACCGTCCAGAATATTGTTGTGGGTGTATCATTGAAAGCAACTCTTGCTAATCCAAAATCACAGATTTTAAGCTTACAGTTTGCATTTGCCAATATATTCTTCGGCTTTAAATCTCGATGATAAACATTTGCTGGAGCAAAGTAGATAAGAATCAGATATATACCACAAAAACAGAACAAAGAAAAAGGTAGATGTGGACAGGGTAACTACGATACAAGGAAAGCAGTCACCACAGTAGAAAAGGCTGGCTAAATGCAAATAGTTAACTTACTAACAATTTAAAAGTTGAAGCACTACAAGAAAGCATATTGAAGGAAGAATCAATAGCATCAATACCAGAGAAAGAAAATATGCTGAAATCACATCTTGCAGATAGTCAATTATCCACAGCCCCATGAGCGAGTTCAGTTTACTTTACAAACCACCGTGATCTTCAAATGTGTCATCAACGTGTGTTGATTGAGATAAGTGGCTATAAAAGTCACTCATGATTTATTCACAAAATCCAAGCAGCCATTGACAGTGCTCCTAGAGAGAACTAGGAGGAAAGGTAAGGTCTGCGGAGAAAAGACCACCCAGGCTACTTCTGAAGAAGGATTTTTATATAGAACTTGACCATTACCTCATATCCACATAGGAGATTGGTCTACCTACTATATGTTCAATAGGCTTAAGGGCCAAATCCCATGAGCTTTTGACTAAATGTTCTTACCAAAAGTAACACCCATGTAATCATTTCTAGGAGCACCATCAATGGCTCCTTATATTTGGCTTAAAAATCATGATGGGGACTTTTATCTTCACTTTATCTACACACATTCATGACAAGTGAAGAGATCGGTGGAGGTTGTAAAGCAAAATGAACCACTCGAAGGACTGTAGATACATAGGTTACCCTTAAGACTTATTGTTACCAGAGCAATGGGCCTCTTTTATTTTTATGATATTGGAAAGCAAATAATGAATTTGAACTTAGGCTTTGGCTGGAATTAAGTAGAAGTTCCTATTAAAGGGGTAAGCAGTATTATACCTGTGTGTATATACTTTAACGCACGAAGTAGTTGGTAAAGAAAAAATTGATAGTGCTCTCGTGTCAAGTCATCATTGGCTTTAATGACTTGATGAAGATCCGACTCCATGAGCTCAAAAACAACATAGATATCTTTAAAATCCCTTCTTGATGGTGGTAGCATGATGTGTTTGATTTCCACAATATCAGGATGTCTTAGGAGCCTAAGCAGCTTTATCTCACGCAATATACGAGCAGCATCGGAAATGTGTTCAAAAATATCATGTATTTTCTTTATTGCCACTTTCTCACCAGTGTGTGTATCGATTGCAGAGCAAACAACACCGTAACTGCCTTTCCCAATAACTTCCTGAATTTTGTACCTATTGGCATCACCATATTCAGAGAAGAAGTCCATTTCTGTGGAATTCTGCAACATAGGAACCCAAGTTAGTTGAGAATTCCAATACATTACACAAGATCAATAAATCTTTCTAAGCATTTTTCTACTAACTCTATGACACAAATCTCGTAATACAAATTTGTCTTTTCTATTTGATATCTTCTTTCGCTATATCCAACGGCATGAAAATCAGTGCCAACAAGTCTTAGATCAAATGCAACAGCATACATATCCAAATCACATGAAACTATATTCCAGCATGTAACCCTTGGGATAACGAATCTAATAAGTAAAGAACAATAGAATCAGAAGCGATTTCCTTTAAAGATTGCATCTGTCAATCACACTGTAATTTTTCATGACATCAAAACCCTTGTTTTCGACTTTGAAACAATTATAAAAGTGGGCAAGAAAATGAGAATTCAACAAAAGCATAGAACGGAAGAAAAGAAAAGGAATATGATGCAAATAATTAGAAAAGATAAATGCATGACGCTAAAATTCTATAGCTTCCAAACTATCCGGATAAAATGCAACCAATGTAATCAAAAAACCGTGTTCTTACAAGTTTGCTCTCCCAAACCCATAATCAATTAAACCCGCAAGAGGTATTATCTCAACAACAATACCATCAAATTAGTAGCCTCAAAATCTACGCAATATTGCATTTACACTCTCGAAGCAGACAAATTCATCGTTTTCCACATGTACAAAATCAGAATAGAAGGAAAGTAAATCCAAGTCGAAAACATTTTACACCAAAGATGAAGAGGAACTGAAAAATCCAAAAAACTAAATAGAAAAAAAAACTAAACTAAACTATCTACTGATGAAAAAATCTACTACTGGTGATAGAATCATATCCACTAAATAGATAGAAGAGTAGATAAAAATGGCATATAATGAAATCATGGGAGAGCATAAGCATTTAAGTCAGTGGATAACATTCACACCAAAAAAAATGAAACCCACTTTTCCAGAAAGAAAATCACATTCAACGATGCCGTTGTCATTACAGCTCCAATACAGAGAGAGAGAAGAAAAAAGGAAAAAAAAGTCACAGCATCCACCATATAGAAAACAACAAAAACATAAATTTATCCTTTTTCATGTATTAAAAAAAAATGTAGATAATCATATAAATTGCTGCTTGGCTTTACTACCAAACAGACTAATTCAGTCTGCAAAAATAACCACAGCTCTTAACGATTCATCATAATTTTCTTGATATGATTCAATAATGACGTTACTTTTTCTTGTTGATCCATATTTTACCAGAAACTCTTTCCAACATAAATATAGACCATAAACACAGAAAACAGCCAATTCTGAATCAAATTGTTAAGATTCACATCCAAAACAAAATAAAACAATCCTAATTTTCACCTTTTTTCTCTGATCTTGCTGCATATTTTTTTTGTTCTCCAATTCCAAAACTCCAACTAAAAAACCAAAAAAAGAAAAAGTTTCCGTCCACCAAAATCTGAATTTTTTTGAATCAGATGATGATGGAACACATATAAAATAGATTACAAATCCTCAATTCAGTAAATCAATCAAAATTGATCAACCGCATTTTCCCCATCTACCTCTGCTCCTTATTACAAGGCCAGAATCCCACCTTATTCTCCTCTTCGAATCCTTCACCGAACATACATTCAAAAGCAATCCCTTCATGCACTCCTCTTCCAATTTTCCTCCACCAATTCCAACCTCCAAATTTCCTCTCTGCGATATAATAACGACAATTACTACCATAAATCAACAGCCACCGTCTCTTTTCGACAATTCAGTAACAACAACAACGAGGATAAGAATACCTCTTCTAGCATTTCTTATTCTATCAATCTCTCCTCTAACTAAACCTACCCAAAAATATATATATATATATATATATAAATAAATAAATTGTTTAGTTAGCAAAACGAAACTGCTTTCGGCTTTGCGTGCAGATCCGTACTTTGAATTTTGTAAAAAAAATTATACTGCGTCTGTGAGGGTTTTTGAGTGTAGAGAAATGCAAGATCTGTACACCGACACGAAGCTGAAAAAGGTGAAGGGAGACAGATTGTGAGAGATAAAACAGGGAGAGGGAGAGGTTTTTATGGCATGTATCTAGGGGGTGAAATGGGATATTTTGGGCATTTCACGCTTTGCTTCCTACTTGCTCGTTATAATATTTTTTAATTTATTAATTGATAATTAGGTCGATGCCGTATGAATATACGGATAATAGGATTTAAATACGGAAATGGCATTGGCGTGTGATTACCTGAGGTTGGTCAGGGGTAGAAATGGTATGTTGCTTTTTTGGCAGGTGGAGTGAGAATTGAGGAAGAGGATTAGGTGCAAGGTTTTTAAGATTTGATGGACACGTTTTCGACACGTGGCGAGATCCTGGAGAGTTGAGTAAAGAATCGGTGGGCCTACAGCCTACCTGTAACTTGTGAGGTGTGTCAATAAACATCGATGATGATCGATCTTGGCATGTGGTGGTGATGATGACGATCATTATTGGAACATTATGTTTTTTTCTTTTCTTTTCTTCTTTTTTGAGATGGAAACAATTTGTGCTTTCGAGCCACAGATAGTTTCTTTTGACGAAGTGCTGGATTTTGCATGCCATTTGGCCTTTTATGTTTATCCAATCACTGGAGCGAGACCGTAGAATTAATTATTCTTCATCTTCGGTCTTTTTTTATTTTTTATTTTTTGAAGTTTAAATTCTCACGTAAAACAAGACCATTTTTGGAATACCAAACATTGATGATTGATTCTTCTTATTAATTGATGATTGAGTCTTCTTATTATATGATGATTGAGGTTTTTTTTCTCTCTGTCTCTCTCTGTTAATTGATGATTGAGTCTTCTTATTATCTGACTCATTTCATTAAAATAACCACAAAAATCTCTACGTGTATGTTAACTCCATTACGTAGACTTGACTTTCTCTATAACATCAATCCAAAAAAAAAATCTGGCCACCATTGTTACCGGTCTACATCATTTCATCAATCAACTCCTAAATTAAAGTATCCCCGCAATTTAATTCTCAATTTCTCATTTGCTTTCGTTAAAATCGAAGGGCGGCCAGTAGTTTCTTTTCAATTCGAAACACCTACTATCCTTGTTGTAAATCTTTTTTACATTTTTAATAATCCACCATGTGCTTCACATGTTTTATGTTGCGCGGTATAGCTGACCAACACGGTTTCTTGTAATTAACGGAAGGTTTTATTTTCTTATTTGCAAAGAAAAATAAACAACTTGAGATAACTGATAGTTTTTTTTTTTTTTCGAGAATGTTGAGTGAAGTTATAGTTTCCACTTTCCACACGAAGAAGAAGAAACTCGCAACGCATTAGAAACTTGCAACGCATTAGTTTAATGAATGTAGCCGGTACATGAAAAGCAGCCCCACACCAAATGCTTGCCTCCAATTTGGACGTTTTACCCTACGGGAATTGACTTTGTTCAACGTGTAGGCTTTAGCGTTACTTTTTATTTCTGTCAGTTTCTCTATTCTTTGGTGACAAAAAGAAAGACTATCTGATCTGCCCGTTTCTATCCGGCTGGTATTGACAACAAATACAAAGATCTGGTGGTATTTTACTTTTTTCTTGTAGCCGCTATTGCTTTAAAACAATGTTTTCTTTTTCTTTTTTTGTTAAACAATATACTGATTCAAGGAGCGCTTTGTTTTGAAACGGGGACAAAACTCTTTAAGAGGAAATCAGTGTTTTTGAATTAAAGCAGAACATGATTTTGTTTAAGTATAGTTGATGCTACTTCTCTTAGTATCTTTTTGATTTAAATATTAGAATCAGTTGTAATTGTAAATAGGAAAAAAAATATTTGATTGTCATTTGTGATTGAAAGCAAATTTATATTGAAAAAAAATAGTAGATATTATATGTATATGTATTTGATGGTCTTGTATTTCAAAAATGGTCTTGTTTTTGAATTAAAGCAGGGCATGATTGTATTTCAAAAATGGTATTGTTTTTGAATTAAAGCAGGGCATGTATTTGATGGTTCCAACTACGGACGGATTGCTAATCCTAGGCCTTCTGCTTCCCAACTTCATGCGTAGGAGAGAAATTTTTGGACTTTGTTAATATGCTTATTCAAGAAGTGTGCAGATCTTGCTTTGCTTAGTGCGTTAAGTATTGAAGTCTTCATTTCTTCGGAAGTCAGAATCACGAGATGCACATAGATTTGCATGTTGCTGCGATATTATTGTAAGGCATAGGAGTTTAGTGAAATACAATTGAGTTAATTTTCGTATTTCATTTGTTGTTTTTGAATTAGAGTGAGCATGTTATTGGCTATTGATTGTACGACTCTTGGAAGTCGAACATGCAACACACATTAATAATCTCAATGGACAAACTACATAATAAATACATCAATATATATATATATATATATATATATATATATATATATATATAATTGTAAGGCATAGGAGTTTAGTGAAATATAGTTGAGCTAATTTCGTATTTCATTTGCTCGTTTCGAATTAGAGTGAGCATGCTATTGGCTATTGATTGTACGACTCTTGGAAGTCGGAACATATAACACGCATTAATAATCTCAATGGACAAACTACATAATAAATACATCAATTTTAATATATATAATTGTAAGGCATAGGAGTTTAGTGAAATATAGTTGAGCTAATTTACGTATTTCATTCTGTCGTTTCGAATTAGAGTGAGCATGATATTGGCTATTGATTGTACGACTCTTGAAAGTCGAACATGTAACACGTATTAATAATCTCAATGGACAAACTACATAATAAATACATCAATTTTAATATATATATATATATATATATATATATATATATATATATATATATTATTGTAAGGCATAGGAGTTTAGTGAAATATAGTTGAGATAATTTACGTATTTCATTTGTTGTTTTCGAATTAGAGTGAGCATGCTATTGGCTATTGATTGTACGACTCTTAGAAGTTAGAACATGTAACACGCATTAATAATCTCAATGGACAAACTACATAATAAATACATCAATTTTAATATATATATTTACAATTGACTACATTAATTTTTATTTTTTTCATTTTAATATATTAATTTTTTAAAAAATATCAATTAATTTTTTCCATCTAATGTGATGATTTAGCGGTTAACAAAAGTGACTAAATAACTAAATTATCTCTTTTTTCCTCTCCAATTGTTATTATTGTTTAACTATTAATTGAAAAAGAAAAAAAATCAATTGGCATGTATGCTTTCACCTACTTTGGTTTTTTTTTAATTGATAGTTAAACAATAATAATTGTTCGAGAAGAGAAAAAACACCATAGTAATGGTCAAATTTAAGAAGAGAAAGTAAATTTATATTAAAAAAAATATTAGATATTATATGTATATGTATTGATATAATAAAACAATTATTCTACATTTGTTTATTTTTGTATGGGGCTTAAATATGGACAATTGGATATCAGAGGTCTATTGATTTAATGATTTATATGTAATTTTTGAATTTTTTTTGCTGATGTGTTATCTTAATTATCTTAATATTCAGTACATATATATATACTAAAAAAATTATTTCACATTTGGTAAATTATGCATGGGGCTTAAGTGGATTCCGTACTCAATCTATGTTGAGTATGGTGGCAATGTGGGGTGGTTTTGAGGAGAGGGGAGAGGGGGTGAAACTCAAAATGGCGAACTCACCTCGAATCCAAAGAGTTTTTAAAATGCAACAAAGTATATAACAGTCAAAGCACGACACGACAGAACAATATCAAACAAATCCTGAATTACTTCATCCCAATTTCAACTACCAGTACTCTAATCTTTTGTATTCTAAATAATTCTCTGGGCAGGATTAGGAGATTTAGCCCTCGTAAGCACCAAAACTCCCTGACCCGTTGGAACTTTATGCTTCATCAGTAGACTCCTGTGTAAGAAGCTTAAGAGTTAAAAATACAAAGGTCAAAGTCATTTTTGGAAGACAAAAACAAAATTGTTGATGCAAGGCTTTGAGGTCATAGCTCTCCTCTCTTGGCATTGTCCGCAACTCTGTCCTTGTAAGAGTTCAAAACAAAAAAGACTTGAAGCCTAAAACAACCTCTGTCAATGCTAATATAAAATTTCTCAAGTCATTGACTACGCTAAACCTTACTCTTTTTTTTTAGCTTACCTAATCACTGTCAACGCATTTTTAAAAAATCTTTACGTGGAAGTAATTAAGAATGATGTTCAAAATTATTTTGAATAGGAAATGTACATTTAATTAAAATTTTCTAATGATTTTTATGAATACAAAGTAAAAATGTGTTATATATATTGGTTTTCTGTTCGCTGGTTGATATCTCTTATGCTTTCAAAAGACGGACAAATGTTTATTTATTTTATTTTTTTAATTTATCCTTCCTGAAGAGTCTTAGCATTAAATCTAGCCATCGAAAAGAGGTGTTCAGAATTTTTTTTTTTTAAATGTTTTTAATCATGGAATCCTTGTTTTCAGCTACCTTGGGTTGCCAATTTCAGAACCTTCGTGTTCTTATGATCAACTTTATTTGTTTTATCAAAATCATGTACTTGAATGTGATTAAGCAAGTCAAGTATCCTACGCATAATGTCCCAAAGATATTTATAATATTGTTCCGTTTCACTAAAATACGTGACTAATTACTCACTAGATATGTAGAGTACAGATAAGGTTTGCAAGTATTTTACTAGAATAAATATAAAGAAAAAAGGTATGATTGGATTCATAGTCATTGTCCACGTAGAAAAGCTATTATATATCAAAAAATTTAAAAGTTAAACCAATATCTTGTTAGACCATTGGTAAGCAAATTTACTTTTTTTTTTTTTTTTAGTATTATAAATTTCGAATTCTTGAGTTATATGTATTGAAAAGAATTAAATCTTATATAATAATATAAGATTGAGATTAAATCAGTGCTAGTAATAAATCTTGTACTTTTCGCACCAGCACACATCAAAAGAGCTCAAATTTTGAATGGAGTGGCTAATCGACGTAAATATGCTATTTCTAAAAAAAAAAAATCAATAACAAAACCTGAATTAAATTTTCAAACTAAATAAATCTTTTTCTTACCATCTTGATGTTGTTTTGAAGTAATTTTTTTAAAAAAAGAAGAAGAAGAAGAAGATAATAATAGGACTCCATTACTCCAACTTAATTCCTCAGACGAAAACTAGATTGCTTAACTAATTGATCATTGATAATTTGATCGTTTCAGTATTGTAAATTAATGGGGGCCATGATCAAACTTATTAAAGTGTCCACGGTATCAGCTTGTTTAATTATTAGTATATGGCTCATAAAATCATATTATATATATAAAAAAGCCTCACTTATGATAAATAGTAAAATTTTTGGCTCCTATATATGGATTAGTATTTCACTTATGTATAGTTTAACATTTTTCAATGTATTCCTTATAAATTTTTAATGTAGCATACTTGATGATACATAAATGAATACAAAAATATGTTAACTGCAAATTGAATAAGGAATATTATGTCATTCGAAATTATTAAAGTGTCCACGGTATAAGCTTGTCTAATTATTAGCATGTGACTCGTAACTCATAAAATCATATTATATCAAGTTCTGACTAATATAAATATGATGTTTCAACCCACAATAAACAGCACAAATGGTAAAATTCTAGATTTAAGATACATGAAGGTCTTTAGTTCAAGTTTCACTCTTAGATAAATTGTGTAAATAATTTTTGTGGACCATAATGCGTAGAATCTTGTCCTAAAACGAATAAGATGAGCTCTTGTGGTCAAAGGGCTGGTGCTGCATGTTTCAATGTCTTGTTTCCTCTCTCTAGGGTTAATGATTCAAGGATTTTTTGACTATTTATTTTCTTTTTATCATGTTTATTTATGTTATTTCGTCTCAATTAAGTTCCTTTTTTTTTTGTTTGATTTTTATCTTAATTTTGTTATTTTATTAATTTTTTAAGTTAATAGTATTAAAACGTACCGTTAGTGATATAAGATTGCAATACATTTTTTTTAATCTCTTAACACGGTCCCTTTATTCTCTTTTTTATACCCAAATTAAATAAAAAATTTTGAAAAAATAAAAAAAAATGAAAAAGGGTGAAGATATATATTGTCTTTTAATTAAATTTATAATTTTATAATATCTCAAGAGAATTCATCATAATTTATTTATTTTTATTTTATAAATTTTTTAATTTGATTCAAAATTGTTCTTAAATTAACACCTATTACAATCATGTCGTCCTTGGGGTGCAATATTGGTAGTCAAAATTTTTTTTAAAAAATAATACAATTTAAACAGGGAGGGATGAACTTAAAATAAAAAAAAACGGAGACAGAAAAACGGTGGCAAGTTGCTTTCTTCCAAGTGTTGGGCATAGAACAAGACAAAACAAACAATTGAACTAGAGCAGCAAGTAGCCAAGTAGCGACCATATACTGTATATTTTCCTTTCTGAATTGCCATGTCGTGGGTGCTCCATCAGGATAAATGATTAAAGAAAGACTTTGCTGGCTCCTAATATGGATAATTTTAACAAATGAAATTCCTTTTCCCCTGATGCATGTGAAAGACGCCTAAAACTTGCCCATCAAAAAATAGATCCCCTGTCTCTATCATTCAATCATTTACTACCATTTTTTTAAAGGAAAGCAGGACGATCATTCAATGATTTAGTTCTTTGGTTTCAAAAGAGAGTGCGATAAAGCTAGAAACTAGCTAGAAAGAAGGAATCTTTATCCGTCTCCAGTCTCCAATTTCCTATCCCATGACAGAACTAATTAAGCTTTCGGTCTTGCATAATTACCGCAGGCTTAACTATTCTCGCTGTCCATCTTTGACACGGTTTTACCTGTCTGCAGCTTTGAATTTTTTGCCCTTTCGTCCATCTACAAACCACGCTCGCATGCTCGAGATTTTTTTTATTTTTTATTTTTGATTGAACGCGTGCTCGAGATTTTTGCTTATGTTCGACCTTAGTTAAATCAATAATGAATTAGTCATGCTTTACCATATATGTAAATATATCCCGAGACGACTCTTACAACACATGATAAAAAATGAAATGTCAATTGGAAATAAGTTTTGCCGGTGCTGCCGACAAGAGGGCTTCAACAAACATGTCAGTCAGTGTGAATATAATTAAATCAACTTAATTAAGCAGACGGCACTGGTTTGCTATATCAATCATGCTTGTGTGGTTGTTGGGAAATTAATATTCATATGGAAACAAGAGTTTGCATCTCCAAAAAAAAAAAAAACAGAAAGAGATAAGAGTGTTTCAAATTCAACAACGAGATCCAAAGTCTATGGAGGAGAGGGTATCTAAATTAAGATCACCCCTTTTGGATCCAATACATATTAAAATGTAAATGTAATTATATTTTGATTGCTTTTATTAGTGTGATGATGATTGACCATTACAGGTTTGCTCTAAACCCAAGAGGGTTAATTCAGCTTCGTGAGGCGGGTTGATTGGGCCTGTTTATGTTGCTTTATCCAATAAATATTACCTCACTGATTGACGGACCATGCTCCATATATACTTGTTCCATCGCTTTATGATGGAAATTTTAGATTGGAATGTATGATCATAAAATACATTCATTACCAAATACTAGTGTCGGTTGTATTTATCCTCTTACGAGATGCTACTGGCCATTATAAGTTGAGGTTGTCGTGTCAGAGGTCGAAGCTTTGCCGGACGTATGATCCCATCCATCCCTCGTTATAGCTTCAATAATACTTCCAGTAGCGACCATATATATATGTCAACAACAACAATGGAAGAGCTAGCTCGTCCACTCAAGAAATTTTTGATTGGCCACATCTATATCACGCAACTTTAACATTATTTTTTACATTCATCTCTATCCAATTACCAAGGACGAGACTTTAAAAGGCAACGGGGCTCGCTAGTCTCGCTTTCAACGACAAAAATGAGTAAAGGAGTGGCCTACTCTCTAAATAATAACAACATTAAAAATGGTTTAAGTCCAAAAATCCGATTGGATTTCCATGCAGTTTCAGTGATGAAGTTCATTTGCGTGCTGACAACGACCCCATTGCGCTAATGGAAGTTGATTCATAAGATAAGATGTGCCCATGATTGATTACAATTCGATTAAAACTAAAAAATCAAATTGAATCGAACCAAATTAGTAATTTTGATTTGATTTTATACAAGTTTTTTTTTAAAAAAATCAAAACTAAAATAAAAAACTAAAATTATTTTGATTTTTTTTGATTTTTTTTTTAACACACACATCCAAAACTCATAGCATTTTTTTATGATTTTTCTTTACTAAAACTTCAATTCAAGCTATTAGCATTCCTTGAAAATAAAAATAAAAAAATTATAAAAAAGTGGCTTTTCAGTTTGGTCAAAAAGAAAATTCAAAATTCAAAAAAAAAAAATGAAAAAATTATTGGTTTTTAGTCAAAAATCGAACAAAAAAGTTAAAAAATCAAATCGAATTTCGAATCTCAATTTACTTTGATTTCAATTTTTGTTTTAGTCAATTCGATTAATCAAAAATCGAAAAGAACCAAAACTGAATAAAAAGATCGAATGATTGCTCCTAGGTGTGCATGCATAAAGGCTTGCTTCTCCAGCTATGGATTCATAGGATTTCATCCAATTCATTGTGGAGCTTTCTTTAGATAGTTTCCTCTTGAGAGAGTTCCCTTCCTTCATCCTTTTTTTTTCAGTCCAATTGAAGTTTCATTGCACGAATGGAAATGGATACATTCTCAACACATATTTTTCCTTAGGTTGTGATTTGTGAAATGTTAAAAGAGGGAGTACATTTGTATATGAGTAATTCTTAATAATGTAGAAGAGGATATAAAAGTTATTTGTAAGGAATTAAAAGGAGATTATATATTTTATTTTATTTTTAGTTCACTGGAAAGTCCATAAACCTTAAACTATATAATGAAGAATATGTTTTTTTTTCATTAAATAACAATTAAATAAATTAAAATTATTAAAATTCAAACTTGTTTTACTTAAAAAAACTATGGAGACACATAATCATTAAATTATGTCTGTTTATAAAAAAAAGGTTATATTAACGTTGGGCGCGTGCAATTTATTTAAATTTGTACTTGAGTTTCTCTGTTCCTAAAAAATGAAAAATGAACATTCCAGCTCAGAAAGCGTCTGACCCATCTCCCACTTGTCATTCCTTTACCCATCCAGTTAGTTCTTCTCTTATTTATATCACTACAAAGAAAAGCCGTTAGAAGTCCATTCCGGATAAGTCGTATCAACAAAATGATTATCAATTCTAATTAAATCCATGAAAAGACATGACAACTCCATGCAAGGTAAGTTAGCTTGAGTAAAGCCAAACACACATCTATCCAAGTCAAGCCCAAACAAAGCCAAACTACGCCGGACCGTTCTCGCCAGTTCACTACTCTACATCTCCTCTTTTCCCGCACAAAAACAAAGCGAAAAAAAAGAAAAAGAGAGAATAAAAACTATATATGTATACGTTTTTGCCCCTGCCCCGGCAAAATGTTCATACGTATCCACAAATATACGTATTTTGTAATGTTCAGCAAGGTGTTCGTATTTTTTTAACGAACGTATGGTACGGAGAGAGGAGCAAGAGGATATACTTAACCTCCACCACACCCAGTTGCTAGATCTCTACCCATGTGGCCACGTGAATGCTACTTTGAATTATAATCGTAGGAGATGCGGGGCCTATTACATAGAAGGTCCCATCTCCGTTGTTTGTACCTGCTAGGAGAAGAAGGTCTCGCGGCCTGTCGTTACAAGTCACTGGAGCATGGACGCATGGTAAACACAAGGTACGGTACCATGATGGCTGAGGCCCCATCCATGCCGCTGCGTCCTCCTCCTAAATCCCAATATTCTTCTCACATAATATTTTCCTTCGCTGGCTACTTGGCCTTTTCATTTTCAAGGGCTAAAGTACGGTTTTTTTATTAAGTTCTTGAGTTCAGACTTCACCACAATAAACAAAACGTGGCAAAATTTCAAAATGTGACAACCGTTTATTTGGCCCCTCCGTGTCTCTCGCTGTATTTCTTTTTTTTTCTTTTCTTTTCTTTTTTTGAGTTCTCTTCCAATTTTCTTGAATTAACAAACTGTTCGCTGTATTTATTCAAAAAATGTGGAAACTACTTTATCTGATTTTTAATCAAAGTAGCACTCGGGTTAAGAATCTAATCTTAGTAATATATATACAAAATTTAAGTACTTTGTATGGAGCTTAATTATTGATTCAAGATCGTTGAAAAAGAATGCCTTTTTTTCCTACGAATCTCCAATTATGCATTAGATAGTTCTTGAGTTACTCATAAACTTTTATTCACCAATTCAGACTTTTTACAGAAAGAAAGTCAATAAATCAAAATAGAATTACAAATTTAGTACAGTATCTAAGGTGCAAATCTCCAATTAGGGGTGGATGGTTCTTGTACTATTTCTGGATCGTGATCAAGCCCATGATCTTATTTCCAATGTTATAGTCTAACCCCATGAAATACATTTTGAGACCCCACCAGCAGAACCGATGTTGCTCATAACCTTATTTCGAATGTTATAGTCTATCAGAACCGATGTTGTTCCATGTCTAGAGTTCCCGTTAGCAGTAATCCATGTGGGATATAGGGTGTGTTAGTTGACGTGATACATATGTTTTTACAAAAGTATTTATATTTTTTATATTTTCGATATCAACATATTAAAACTATTAAAATACTAAATTTCGTATGGTCTTCTTTATTTTGTTCTTTTAACATAGAATTTGCCATGTTTAGACATTATTTTTGTATATTTTAAGCTCACAATCCACTAATATTTTATCTTTAGGCCATAATAAAATATTTTTTTTAAAAAATATATATATAGAAAACTAACACATACAATGGCAATACTAAAATGTCATCTTAAAGTAAATGAATGAGGTCATCTAGAAAAACATACGAGAGATAAAACTCGAGGAAATTTTTATCATCACCTTCGCTACTGATAAGAAAATATATTTTTAAAGGATATGTTTTAGTTCCTAAACCCAGTCTAGTCATTTTCCAAGTTTACACGTAACCAAGGTCAGTTAAATTGTTTGTTTCGCAAAAGCTTCCAAAATAACAATTTTTAGTAAAAAATTAAAGAAACGGGTGATTGTTATGTTTTTGGAATGGCTCATGTTGCGTTAATAATACAAACCAATTATTTGGTCACAAGTTATCTAGATGATAAGACAATTGCTGGCAAGCAAAAGAAAGGCAGTAGATGGGCTTGGCTTTCAATCAAAAGCCCAAGGAAACAATAGATACTCAACGAGCCCAGTAATCAAGAGTTGTTGGAAACAGTTCCTCGAATTGTGTTGGTAAAGATTTTGGATGTTGTTGACGGAGGTTGGCCATACGATGAAAGAGTCAAATAGATATCCGCTTTTCCCATCCAAATGACGGATACGCGATTAGTACCTTTAATGGATATTGGTTCTGATCGCTCCCTTTTGGTTCGATATTTTAGAAAAATTATTATATATGTCCGGAGTTGTACTCGTTGACTCTTACAAAAATACGAGATCCATCATTAAAACAATAAATAAATTCTATTTTTTTTTAAAAAAAGAAATATAATTGGCAGTATAATGAACAATTCCATATGCATTTTGTTGTGCAATCCATGCACGCAGTTTGTTGGTTCCATTAGAATTTTCAAAGCAGACATTAATTAAAAAAAATTAGTATAGATATGTATTGATTCGCTTTTCATAATATGTTATAAATTAGATAAAATATATAAATTATTTTAATTTGATAATTCACATTGTAATACGAGTCTGTTAAAATATATCGAATAAAAAATACATATATTTGTATAATTTTTTAATTATAGTAAATAATTAGTATTAATATGTGTTTGAAGTAGGAATTTTACTCGATCGTCATATAATTAAATATGTATTTTTTTATTTATCTCAATATTTTTTAGATATTTTTAATTGAATTTTGATTATATTCAATGAAAAAAAATATTTACTTCATACCCGTTTTATTGTCGATTTTAATCTAAGTATGAGAGAATTTACTATTCGTTAAACAATGAACAGCTCAAATGTCTTCTTTTTATAATAAATATCACGATTTGTAAGATAAAAAGACACTGCTTTTCACAGGAAGAATACCCTTCACTGACGAGTGAAATTATCACATACGAAATCGATAAAATGCATTTGGAAATTTTTTTAAGGCATTGTCTCGGCATTATGCTTTTTATATGGCAACAAGTTTTCCAAAAATGGTTCTACAACTCATGAAATAATTATATTAATTGAAAAATTCCATACATACCAAAAAGTAAAATTACAAATAGACTAGCATCGCTTATAGAAATATCTTAAACTTTCAAACTCGATGCAGATGGGATGGAATATTTCTATTTCTAAATATAGACAATTGCATTATGGTAATTCCTTATTTTCTCATAAATATCTCCCAATATTTTTAACTTCAGAAATACTTATCTTTATTGTAATATTTTTTTAGTTGTTAAGATTTTTTATTTAATTATGCTTCCTATTCAGTATTATTAAGATTTCTTAGAGTTTTATAGTTTTCTATTTAAAGGATCATAATAGTTTTTAACAACAAGAATAAATGAATAAAATTTTAGTGTTTCGTAATTTTTTTACAGTTTTACTATATATAAAAAAGTTTTACAGTATGAACAAACCCACGTCCTTTCCATTCGTGACTCCCAACTTGGATCGGTGTGAAAGATTTTTGATTCCAATTAAACGGCTGAAATAGATTCCCTGTTTTTCATTTTCCTCTTTTCTAATGCAAACGCTGTGGATCGAAAAAGCAAAACTCCTTTGTGGGATCCACGTGGCATGGGACCTGATACTATTCATTACAAACGTGGCATTACATAATTTGTCTCATTTATTCCCCAAAGGTTTCTAACGAGGAGCAGATGAATCCATCCACTTTTGCTGACGCAAACGTAACGTCACTGAACCCCACTACTTCAAAGTTAAACCCAAAACGTGTGCAACCAAGTGAACTCAATCGTACACAACTCCCTAAATCAACTTGTTCTTAGTATTTACGCCAATCAAACCACGCCACATCTTCGACAAGGACGTTCAGTACCCTCACTCATCATGGCAAATTCGTAATTCCAATAATCTCAGATGTCAATTTGCTTAAAAGATTATCCAAAAAGAACCTGTTTTTTTTTTTTTTTACCCTTGGATTTTTATGATGGGCAAATTATAAAGTAGTTCCTCTTGTTTTGAGAAACGAATTTATTAGTCCTTCTCATTTTAAAAATATTATTTAGTACTAATTTTAAACTTTATCGACAATATAATTCTTTTTAATTTATTTTATTTTTTTAATAAATAGAAAAATGAAAAAAGATATAAAAAGCTATGAAAAGATTGATGAGAAACAATAGACTTTTTAGAAAAAATTATATCAAATTAAATAGGATCAAAACTTATTAAAAGATTGAATAATAAATTTTAAAACAAGAGGGACTAATTAATTTATTTCTTAAAACTAGAGAGATTAATTTATAATTTACTCTTTTATGATTATCTTGACGATGGAGTATATGTTGATGACTAATGGATTTGTGTCAACGGACGCCAAATAAAATTCAAATACAGCGGAATTGTGTTTTCCAAATTTCTAAATATTAAAAAAAAAAACTTATTTAATTTCTTCTCGTCTTCTTCAATAATAATAATTATTATTTCCCTGAAGAAGTTGTACTACACTCACCACTACTTCCCTCCCTCCAATCATTTTCCTCTGTTTCTCTCTCTAAATAGAATCCTCTCTCTTGATAATTATTATACTTTCTTATTTTTTCTTTCTAATTTCCCGGCGGGAGAGAAGGGGAGGAAGGAGAAGAGTATAAGAAAGATATATCCATACTTCTACGAAACTCTCTTTCTTGATTATATTTTTTTATTGTATTAGTTAAGTTAAAAAAATAAATAAATTGTTTGATCGTCAATACAAAAGCTTAATTCGTTGCTTCTTCGTTTGGAATCTGGGCTCTTTTTAACTGCTCCCTCACAAAATAAGGTACTCTCTCTTTCCGTTTCCCTCTCTTTCTATTTTTTTTTTAATCACAGGTAATTCGTAGTCTAAGCTTTTAGAGTTTGATCTTTGATTGTTTTATTTTCTTTTTTGGTAAGAGAGTCAATGATACTGTTTGGAGTAATTTCTTTTAGGCATGCTAAATTTGAGTTAATTTTTTATTTTTGTTTTAGCTAATTTTTGTTGTTTGGAGTTTAGGGGTGAGTTGAGATTGAGCGAGAACTGTGAAGTGAACTTTATGAGCATAAAGCTGCTGCCGACCTTAATTTTTTTTGTTGCATGTTGATTTTTTAATCAAAATTTGCTCTTTTTGATGTTGCGCATTTTTTTTCCTATGGAGTGTCGCTTGGCACCTACTGCTAGTGTTTCTCTTTTATGATTGTTATTCACATACCTGTTTTTAGTTAACACGCGACTGAGAGTGCAATTCCGAGGAATTAGAGCATGAAAAGAAAAGGAAAGGAGGATTTCTTTGACTGATAGATTGGGAGAAATGTATCTTGATTGGGGTTCAATTTTATTTTGTCTACTGAAAATATCAAAAATTGCTTGTTGAACTCGATTAAAGTTTTCTTCATTCTTGATTGATACCGAATAGATCTTACTTTTTTCCCGTGCATGATAAATTGATGCATTGATGCTCATATATTCCTTTCAATGGTTTGAGTGTGTGTTCTTTCCAATTTCTTTGTTAGTGAGAAGAGGTAAAATGGAGCAAAATTTGAAGGACACAGTATCTGGTAAGTTTCCTGATGCATTCCTTTTCTTTTGACCCTCTCCTCGTTTGAAACCTAACACACACATACACCTATTTCTTGTTAGTATAGATGTATGCCGTAATTGATAATGTCTTGATTGGCCTTCTGTATCTGTTTATAGGTCCATCGAAAATTCCAGTTGTTAATACCAGTAAGAAAGTGGGCACTGGAGCATGGGGGATCCCGCTTAGGATTGATTCATTTCAGTCCTCAAGTGATGCAAGCTTGTTTTCCTGCTCATTGCCTGTCCTTCCACATGAAAAGTGTACGTGTAAACTCTTTGTTGGTGGGTGTTATGAATTTTTTTCTGATAACAAATTTGATTTTGAATATTTTTGTCCATGCAGTGAACTTTAATGATTCAGAGAATTATGGACGATCTATTGACGATAGCCCCCCTAACTTGAATAAACTTGACCTTGAAACTGAGGTTACAGATCTATTCGAAGACGTTGAACCAAATGCAATTGGAAATTTGCTTCCTGATGATGATGAGCTTCTTGCTGGCATAATGGATGATTTCGACCTTAGTGGGTTGCCTAGTCAACTGGAGGATTTGGAAGAATGTGATCTCTTTGGTCCTGGAGGGGGATGGAGTTAGATTTTGAATCCCAAGAGAGCCTTCGTATTGGTATGTCCAAGCTAAACATGTCTGATGGGATTGCTGCAAATGGGGTTGGTCCTTATGCTCTTCCGAATGGTGTGGGAACGGTGGCTGGCGAACATCCGTATGGGGAGCATCCATCAAGAACATTATTTGTTCGGAATATCAATAGTAACGTAGAGGACGCTGAATTGAGATCTCTCTTTGAGGTATTTTTACAGTTGTCAGAATGCCAGATATCACTCGTCTAAACTGCAAACAACTGTTCTGTGTTGCTTTACTGTGCCTTGCTTGCTTAAAGAATCACCCTTGCAATTGTGCCAAACCTTTGCTGAAAATTTGTTCATATTTGGATCACTGTTACGTACTTGGTCTGATCATATATTGTGAATATCGTTATTTGTCATAAATGACTTATTTCCAGAGCCCTGTCAAAGTTACTGGAACCTTTTAGAATAATTACTTTGTGGTGATTCTACTTACCTGCTTTCTTTCACTTCTGAAATTTCTAATTGAGAATTTGCGTTTCTTTTTTTGGTAATTTTGGGCAAACTATCTCTTTGGTTTTACTAAAATATAAAATTTGTGATAGTTGGTTCAACTTGCGATAGTTTTTGACTAATGTGATAAACTTTTATAGCAATCTCTAGTAACTGTCTGAGTGCATTCATCTGATTAAATTCTTGACCTCTTTATTTTATTTGTTTTTATTTTGATGTCTGGATGTATATAGAGTTGCTTTTAGTCAATTGCAAAATAGATATGAAATTTGTTGTTTACATCGTGCTGTTTTTTAAATCGATTTAGTTAAATTACACTTCAATTAAGCATGGGATTGCCAGAATTTAATCATATAGATGCGAAGTTTTTGTCAATAGCTAGCGCTTACTTCCAAACTTTTTCAATTCCTGTAGCAATATGGAGATATCAGAACATTATACACTGCATGCAAGCATAGAGGCTTTGTGATGATATCTTACTATGATATTCGAGATGCTCGGACCGCAATGCGTGCACTACAAAATAAGCCCTTAAGGCGGAGAAAACTGGACATTCATTTTTCAATTCCCAAGGTTTAAATAGATAGTTTAGCTAAACTAGTTCATTTTCACTCTATTGAGCCCTTCTGCATTTTTATCAAACGTTATTTTCCTATATCAGGATAACCCTTCTGAAAAGGATATAAATCAAGGAACTCTCGTGGTGTTCAATTTGGATGCGTCTGTATCAAATGATGATCTTCGCCTAATATTTGGGGCTTATGGAGAGGTCAAAGAGGTACGTGTTAGGATATTCCATTTCATTTATTTATTGTTTGTTGTTTGGAGTGATTCTTTCTTGTATATAAGCTTCCTAGAATTTCATTGTCTTTATTGTTGTTCACTGCATTCAAAATGCAGATAAGAGAAACACCTCACAAGCGGCACCATAAATTCATTGAATTTTATGATGTTAGAGCTGCGGAGGCAGCTCTCAGAGCATTAAATAAGAGTGATATTGCTGGGAAACGCATTAAGCTTGAACCTAGCCGCCCTGGTGGAGCACGTAGAACGTAAGTATTAGTATGATGTTGCTGATGTATAGCAATTTGTGCTTCTGCATTCTTGTTGGAATTGATTCTTGCTCGTTGTCAAATTTTTATTGCAAATGCAATGGAAAAAAAATGTTTGTTCATGTGAGAGAACTTGTTTATTCAACCTTCTCACAAAATTTTTTTCCCAAAGCCTCTTTGTTATGTTTAGTTAAACCCCTCCTCCTCCCCGCACTTTTGGGGAAAAAAAGGTTGTTGCAACAATGCCTTTGGAAGAAGGCAGTCATATATATGCTAAAATAAACTGTGATGGAAAGGAGCAGAATGATACTTTACCAGCATCTTTAATGAGTGCTTTGTGTGGTTATCTCATAACAAAAAAGTCAGCTGGAAATATGTTGTATTAAACAAATTTTAGGAATTATTAGTTATTAAGATTTTGAATGCTATGCATTCTGTTTTTATTGTGTAATGGAAATTGGAGGATTACTGTTATATTTTCCTTTCATGCACCGAAATCAGTAAAGATCTATTTGTTTAAGAAAGTAAAATGGACAGATCAATTGTTTTTTTGGAGGCCTAATCTACATTAAAATGAGAAGTTTCTGAAACTTTGAAGTTTAGGCGTTATAACTTGGAAGCAAATTCAGGATCCTGATAAAAACGAGAATATAGTGCCAGGGATCCTTGGTTTAAATAACGTTCACCACCCTTCTGTTGTATCCGTAGAGTGGTTGTTATTGGTTACTTCAATATTTGTTGGTATTTATTCACTTGTCATGATTAGGGCTTAAAAATATAAACCAAGTATATTTCTTGAATCTCCTTTTATAGCATGATTGATGTTATACTCATTTATCATCCTGAAAATAGTCTCCTTTATATATAGTATGATGCAGCAAATAAGTCAAGAGCTGGAACAAGATGAAGTTCGAAGTTTCCGACATCAAGTAGGCTCACCAGTGGGAAACTCTCCTCCAGGTAAATGATGTCTTAAGCTTCTTTATGACTATGAGAACTCAATTATTGTTAAGCATTTTCTATCAGCTCCAAGGTCCTGTGCTGCTGATACGCTTTTAGATTATGGACTGAATCACTGTTACTTCCATGACAGGTACTTGGGCACAATTTGGCAGCCCAGTTGAACATAGTCCATTGCATGATTTAAGCAAGTCCCCAGGGCTTGGAAGTTTCAGCCCTGTAAATGGAAATAATTTGCCTGGGTTGGCTTCGATTCTCCCCCTCACGTGTCTAACCCCCCTAAGATCGCCCCAATTGGCAAGGACCATGGAAGGGCTAACCATGCCAACCAGATGCTTAACAACTGTGGATCAATGCAAGGGGCTGCCTATCAGCATTCTCGTTCATTCACTGACCAGAAATTGAGCACGAGTCCTGTTCCCATGTCTGCTTTTGGGGAATCGAATTCAAATTCATCTGGTATAGGCACATTGACTGGTCCTCAGTTTCTCTGGGGAAGTCCTGCTTCTTACTCTGAGAGTGCCAGTTCTTCTGCTTGGCCAACATCATCTGCTGGAAATGCATTTCCATCACGTGGTCAAGGACAGGGTTTCCCACTCACCAGCAGGCATGGATCTCTCCTTGGTTCGCATCACCATCACGTTGGATCTGCTCCATCTGGCCTTCCTCTTGATAGGCATTTTGGCTTCTTCCCAGAATCACCGGAAACATCCTTCATGAACCAAGTTGCATTGGGGGGCATGGGTTTAAATCGAAGCACTGGAAGTTATATTATGAACATGGGTGGCCGTGCAGCTATGGGTGCGGGCATTGGACTTCCAGGACCACCCCTGACTGAAAATGGTTCATCCAGTTACAGGATGATGTCCCTGCCTAGGCATAATCCTATGTTTTTGGGGGCTGGTTCTTATTCAGGACCAGGGACAATTATCAATGAAGGATTTGCTGAACGTGTTAGAAGTCGGCGAGTTGAGAATAGTGGGAGCCAGATAGATAGCAAGAAGCAGTATCAGCTTGATTTGGATAAGATCATTAGAGGGGAAGATACGAGGACAACTTTAATGATTAAAAACATCCCTAATAAGTAAAAGCACTACTGGGTGTTTGTGACATAACTAAAATGTTTGGTTTTGACTAAGTTGGCCTCTTGATGATTTCTTATGCTTTTGTTTCCCTTCTAGGTACACATCAAAGATGCTGCTGGCTGCTATTGATGAAAATCACCGTGGTACTTATGACTTTCTCTATCTTCCCATTGATTTCAAGGTAATAATATTTCAGAAAACATTCATTTGGTATTATTACATAATTTTTCCAAGTTGACTGTGCTGATGGTTGAACTGTTCTGGTTGCAGAATAAATGCAATGTGGGCTATGCCTTCATTAATATGGTGTCTCCCTCACGCATCATTTCCTTCTATGAGGTTCCTTTTGGTTCCTTCATTGCTATCTTAAAATAATCAAACTATGTGCACTTTTATGTCATCTATGTGGTAAAATCTGAATTTTGGTTGGTGTATGTTCATTAACTGAACTTTGTTGCTTGTCATTCTCGTGGAAAAAACAAGCATCAAATTGTTTAAATCAAGCTGGTGGATCACAAATTGAGGCAGTTTATGTGCTAGACTCTTATGGCTAAAAATTTATGCAGGCATTTAATGGGAAGAGGTGGGAGAAATTTAATAGTGAAAAAGTTGCTTCACTGGCATATGCACGAATTCAGGGCAAGGCTGCCCTTGTGACGCACTTTCAGAATTCAAGCTTAATGAATGAAGATAAGCGGTGCCGTCCAATTCTCTTCCACTCCGAGGGCCAAGAGGCTGCTGATCAGGTAACAAGTTGTATTTATGCTTGTGATTAGAAAAGTACTGGTGATTATTCTGTAACGAGTTGGAATGTTCATCGAAATACTATATTTTACTTAGTGTAAATATAGCGTGTACTTTGTTTAATATAAGAAATCAAAGAGGAAAACAAAGGATGCCATTTTTACAACAGCTAGTTATTTTTAATATTGACCAAATTAACTTTAATTTGGGTTAGAAAATGTTATACCATTTGGTTTTCTTTTCTTTCTTTTCCTTTATTTATTTATTTATTTATTTTGGATGAATTGTTACACCATTTGTTTATTTGCTTTTGTGGATCCTCCAGGAACCTTTCCTATCTGGTAATTTAAACATCTGTATCCGTCAGCCCGATGGTTCTTATTTTGGGGATTCGTTGGACAGCCCAGAGGACAGTCTGGATGAGAAACTGGAGAAGAATTAACAGCCAAAAATTGCTCTTGGCCTTGAATGGTGGTCAGGAGTGCTAACCATTGTGTAGGCATTTTGAATGTATAAATTTGGAAGAGAAACTAAAAAGTGGGTACAATATTGATTGAATGACAAGCAGTCTCCATTTTTGCTTCATGGATGCTGCATAATCTCTCACACAATTGGCAGAGGGCATTTTGTTCGTACGTAGAGCAGCCAATTATGAGAATAAGGCGTAACATATTTTGCTGAGAAGTGAAGTCTCTCCACAGTGAAGGCATTTCTCACCGATTTGTACATGGAAAACTCCTATTGGGTTTTCGCTTAGATCCTCCTCTGTTTTTGTACTGGGTTCTGGAATCCATTTGCAAATATGTCAAGATGTTCGTTGGATAATCTGGGATTAAGGGCTGTTTACAGAAGCTGTATAGAATGGAAGATGAACAGACCCTGGATCCGATTCATCCTGTCTTACAATGTTGTTGTAGCTTAAAAGACGTGAATCTGTATATGGTTGTACAGTTAATCACCTCTCTCTCCCCCTCCCCATCTCCATGTATCGTAATGCCTTTTCTTTTCTAAAATACAACGTTCTTTTAGCCTGCTAATCTATATAGATCATCTGCCACAGGAAAAAGGTTAGATATTTGATTGCATTAGGTGCCGATCTATGAATACAGAGCAACAGGCACCAGTCTCGACAGAACAGGGATATTACTAGTTACATTGGTGGTCCATGGGAGCATTTTCTCCATAGTTGTCGAGGGTTAATTTAATCTTGATGACACCATTTAATTCAAAGTAATAAACAAAGATGAGATATTTCCAGGCCTCTCTATGTCACAGCATGAGTGATGAATGACGGGTGAATAAACTTTAGACGGGAGAAGGCCGTTCTCTCCAAGTCTGGCTTCTTTGAAATGTTTGAAGTTATTATAAAAAGAAATTAGTTTTTACCTGAAATGCAACTCAAAACTATTAACGACCATCACTAGTGCCAACGTAAATCGCTAAACCACAATTGGCACTAGAGGTTGGTTTAGCTTTCATTTTTCTTGCAGTAACTATAGTTTTACTACAATGCCCGAGACATGATTTATCAAGACGCATTGGGCATCAACTACTCTGCAGAGCATATTATCATCATGCACAATCACCAAATCCAGGTCCATCATCATCTTCCAGAATATGGAATCATTTTCACAAGAGAAGATACCTTTCAATGGCATAAGGAGTCGAGCAAATGTAAGCTCCCTTTTCTAGTAGTAGATAATCAACCACCTGTTCAAGTGGCATAAAAATAATGCTACACGCTTTCTTCAAAATTTATTACTATCGAGTCATCTTCTAGCTCCCATAAGTGTGGCACGGGTATGCATTAATTCCGGAAATACAAAGCCCCTTTGAGTAAGTTGGTCAAATTTGTAAAGCATCAGCAATGGATCCAGCAAGGCTTAAAACTTCAAATGGAGGCTTATTTGCAATGGCTTTCACAGTGTGAGGGCAGGAATCTGTTATCCAAAAATAGGCAAACGCATTCTCTGTGCCTAAAAAAAAATGGGACGACAATCATTTGGCTTAAAGTTAAAAGGTTCAGCTGAAAAATACAAGAGAATAAATCAGAAGAGTATGGCTGATAACATGCAGGCACTTACCATTATTTTTGTGAGTGAATCGCTCCCAAGAGCGCTTAGGAAACACCCCATGGGTGACATATGCACTCACTTTTGCTGCACCATGAGCTGCCAATACTTTCTGGAAGAACAGAGAGACAAGAAGATAAAAGGGTACTTCGTCAGAGTTTCACTATTGTTGCAGATCTTCAATGTTGATAAATGCAACCAACTCGTTATACAATGATGCACATATTATTTATGCATTGCTTATTAAAGATGCATGGCCTCAATTCCTGAACGCTGTTCATCTGGAAAGAGAAGATGATTCTTTTTGTTTTTTTGACAGAATAAACGTGATCCCAAAACAAACTCAATGGTGGCCAACTCTGAAACTGATGCCGTACTCAAAGAATCAAAACTCTTGGCGATCTCCTATATGATAATGGTAGTTAACACTCTTAAAATTCCATGATAAACAAAACAGGCCCTCCATCAAAATTTAATGAACTATAAGTACATGAACTTGTTTATATTAACCTTATAAAATGTCAACAAAAGGTACTTGAAATTAAGTTATTTCCTATAATAAATGGAAGTTCACTAACCTTTTCTTTTCACAATTAAGCCTGATGTTTGTTTTCAAAATTTAGATCAAATGACCTTCAGGCTCCACAAATTTGCATCAGGACATCACACAAATGATTTTCAATTCTGATAAGTCTAAGATTTAAGAAACAAGCAAGGTGGAAATTGGGAATGTTATACAAACCACAACTTATACTGATGACAATAGAAGCATTAATGGTGATATACAAAATATGTGTATTGTGTATGTTAACAAAAGAAGTCCGGTTGAAATAGGTAAAGAGTTGAATTCTAAATCAGAATACAGAGACTGAAAAGGAAAGAAAGAAAAAAGAAATGCAAGGAGAAAAGAATGAGTAGAAAAGGAATTGCAGGCCTTAAACGAGATGAGAAATGATCTATTCCAACTTGTAATTGAAAGATTCGAAAGAGCAAATGGATCAGAAAAATAGGTTTGCTGGAAAATGATACCTGGCACTCAATAAGGGTGCCTCCAGATTGTACCAAATCATCAACAATGACAACATGGCAACCAGCAGGATTTCCCTCCTTTATTCTAACTATCCTCTTATCACCTTCACGAACCTTCGCACAGACCACCTGACATTAACAACATTATTATCCAGACAACATGTGAACTGGTGTGTGACATCATTCAATCCATTTGTGAGAAAAATTGAAACCAACCATAGGAAAATGATCCAACAGCTTGTGGAATCGCTTCCAAGCTCCATCGTCCGGAAATGCAACAACAATCTGAAATTAAAATTGGAGAACACAATTGGTGGCAAGCAAGATATTCCTACTGAGCTACAAAATTCATCAAAATAGTTATCATGATGATCAGAAACAAGACCATATTTCACAGAAATGATTAACTTTCTGGTGCTTCGAACCTTATCAGGTTTGGGAAATTGGTGAAGGCGTTGCATTAACAAAGGAATCCCAGTAACAAATAAAGGCAAAACATGGTCCCCAAAATAGAATCTTTCCTGCATAAGAAGGAAGGTTGGTAAATAAATCAACATTCCAGAAACACAAAAGGGTATAAATTAGAAGAAGAGAATGACAACCAAACTGTTTTCAAGTGCTCAATGAACTGAATTTGATCAGAGGTTACACTTTGGTAGATGATAAAAAAGAAACTCCTCATAGAATAAATTTAATTACGGTTGAATGTGTAAAACAACTTGAGGCATGCCTAGTAACTCAAATGTTATAGAAAGACTGGTGACGAGGCCTGCTATGGGTAATGGTAATTCATAGCAAAGAACTCATGCTGTGACATTCAGCAAGATATTTCCAATGCTTGATAAAAAATAAAAAGAAAAGATATTTCCAACGCAACTAGGTGAAATATAATATAATTATTGATCTCGGTTCATTTGTGAAGCAAAAGTAGGGAAACAACCTGCAGTGCGTGTATGTCATAGATGACTAGACTAGTGGGGCCACCTCTTGAAATGGGAATATTTGACAATATCCTTGCCATGGTAAATGCAGTTGCAACATCCCCTTCTTCTTCCATCCGCTCGAATGAGCCAGTTGGAAAGAAAGGCAATACCAAAGTGAAGGAAGCTACAAACAGACGCGGCAGCGCATAAATGACAGAAAGCTGCTCAAAGATGACTCCTGGGGAACTAAAAGATGCAAGGAAGGCAACATGTTGACCTCGCAAAGCTTCAGCATTGTTTATAAAAAGGTTAGGAAATCCATCATCGAAATTCCTGATTAAAAACAAAGAAATTAATAAGTTCAGTTCTTCCACTCGTCTAACATTCAACCCCAAGATAATGCAATAAACCTTACACCAAAAACTCAAGGTCAGTTGCTATTCACCTGAAGACTTGTTTGAATAGAATACGGAGGTGAACAATCAGTTAAGTCTTTGAAGGGAAATATTCAAATAGAATAGACAGCAGGACTCACATTCAATAATTAAATTCCCTAACTGATAAATTTGGAAGTAATCTTCCTAGCAGTCCCACAAAACACTAAAACAAAAGCTTATAATCTTGTTGTAGTTTTCACAATTGGTGTGAACTTATAGTAAGTTCTCTCTTGGTGGAATTGTGAAAGAGAATTTATTTATGACAAAAAGAAATGAAAATTACACACACACACAAACACATATGGTAATTTTACATAAGCCAAATTCAAGAGCAAAGAGGCATTCTTTCTCAAGAACAAAGAAAGATGACTAAAACAGCAGATACCCACATCATATTCATGGAAGAAGAACGAAAATAAAGGTAAAGGACAATTAACTTAACATAATAAATATGAGGGAAAGAGAGACAGGAAGGGACCTCCAGTTGATGGATTGGAGAGTGATAAGGTTAGAGTTAGCAGCAACTTTACGGGCAAGCTCTTCAGATTCCACGCAGTAAAACAGATGAACTTGCTTGTGTTTCTGTTCGTTTTGTGTCTCTACTCTGTCCACCTCCATTTTCTCTGCCGTGTTTTTCCTTTTTCACTAAAGTCCACTGCCCCTTCTCTTACTCTCCCCGTCCGCAACACCGCTCTTATTTTATCACTTGTTGGAACACAGTGCGCCGTACTAGGTTTCTAGGGTGGGTCATTGCACATGGCCACATGGGTAGTTCTAAATTCCAAGTACAACATGTAATGTATTTTCTAATTACTAATAAAAAGATATTAGAAAGAGTTATAACTTTTTTCAATACTTAATTTTTAAAATTTTAAATATGTAAAACTAATAAAAATAGCTGATCAAAATTAATTTATGCTGTATTTTTTTTTTTTTGGATTTGTAAAGTATCTCGGATCTAAAAATCTAGATTAATTCTTTATTGTTCGATCGGACACATAAAGCAAACATAGTTAAAAAAAATATTTACATATATAAAAATTCAAATCTGAAACCACTTAATTAAACGCTAAAATTTTTCCCACTTAATTTAATTTTTTTAGATAATTTATATTGTCTTTTTAATAGAGAGGCTAAATAAATATAAGACGGAGGAGGGAGTATAATATCAGTCCTACCAAGCACCTATTGTTCACCACAACACCAAATTGTTCAATAAAAAACTCCATTTTTTTTTTTTTTAATCACAAGTAAACACAAGTTTTCAGTGTTTTTTCTTCAAAATGCGGCAAGTGTCATCGTTCATTGGCACATAACCTTAGGACCAAGTGACGCATAGTGCGGCCACCAATAATTGTTCAAAAAGCACTAGCAATTGGATCCCAATTTCAGGACTGCTAGTGCCGTATGACGAGAAGGAGAGTAGCATAATCTATTACCGAAACAAGGCGAGTCTGCCCTTGTAGCCAAACACTTTTTGGTATGATATAATGGGCCTCGAAGACTTGGCCCATTAGCCTTGTTAATTCTGCTAGAGGCTGATTGGGATTGCCCTACCATTTCGGTGGGTTACCTTGCTCAAAGTGGTGAGACTCACCCCTTCTGAGTACCGATTTTTACTTTTCTTTTAAATTAAATTAAATTTTACGAATAATCGATGGCCATAGGGCCTATGCTTGTATTATTGTACAGCTTCAAAAATGATTCCCACCCCCAAAAAGACCTGAATCGTGCCTTTTATTTTCGGGCCTCCGAATCTTTCAATTGCCGACATTTCCGACCAATGTACTCCCTTTCCCACGATATTTCTGTTTTAATGTTTGTCCACTTCTTAGTTACACGCATGATAAAAATATGATTTTTCAATCTTATCTTTAATCACAGCTCTATTTACAAATACATAACTTTTACATTTTTTTAAGACAGTAAGATTTCTTTGAATGTACACAGCAAACAATGCCCAAGTCTTTATGTATTTTTTTCGCACTTATTTAATTTCGGTTTTTTAAAAATAAATTGTATAAAATCTCTAAAATTTAGCAAACAAAGCCATTTGAGATTGAATTTTTGGAGTTTTTTATTAGTTTTGAAAATCTCTAAAATTTTAATTTTTTTAGATTTAGTCTATTAATGATTTTCAGCTATTATTTTCCCTCTAAAAACTTTAATTCTTGGTATTATAAGTTGAAATTTTACCAACATATTATTAAAAAACCAATCCATTATGTAGAAAAAATTCAGATTTTTTCTAAATTGAAAACTATATTTTTATTTTTTGAACATTAAAAATAAAAAAATAGAAAATAACTCCAAAATGATCCTAAATTTTTTTTTTAGGAACCCCACACAAATCTAACTGGTGATTTTCATTATGAAACTGTTTATATGATTTTTATTTTTTAAGATAAATGATAAAAAATTGAAAAATGATCTAAATCTGAAAAAAAAATTCAGAAATCTCCAAAATTAATAAAAAAAATTTAAAGATTCAACTTTCAATGACTTAAAATTCATAATTAAGTGGTTAGCCGTTTTTAGCTGTTATATTATGTATTTTTATTTGTCTTTCCCACAAATGAGATGAGGAAATTAATTACCAGAGAAATTTCTATATATATATATATATATATATTTGTAAATTTATATAAAAATTTAAACAAAGAATTTTCTTTTGCTAGACTAAAGAATTTTTTGTGTGTGCATAATATAAAAAAATTATTTCCGAGAAATAATTTAATAAGAAAAACATGCATTAACACAATGAAATGGAAAAAAATATATATATTTTATACTCTGTTTCAAATATGTTATATTTAGGCAAGACAATATAAAAGTAAAAATGAAATTTTTTTCCTTATCCATTATAAATCAAACAAGAGACTGAGACGAAATGCTTTATCTTTTACGTCATTATCAATCATAAGTCTCTTTTGTCCTTTATTTAATTGGTCTCGCCCATTGTGTACTGTTTTGTTTTATTTCTTTTGTCTTGAGACTCAAGGTTTAAACGCTTTATATAAAATGAAGGTTTAATTTGCACTGCTAGAATGTTTTGCACGCTTTTATATACACACAAATAACCTTAAAAATAATTTTAAACATTTTTTTTACTATAGATATCCTGTTAATCTACAACAACGCATTTAGTGTTTAGATATGTTGCGTAATTTTTAAGATCGATGCTCTTCACAGTTTCGGCGGCCCATTAATAGACAAATTAATATTAATCGGGGTCATAATTGAGTTAGTTAACAGCTATAGCATGTGGAGTCTTGAGCATTAGTTTGTTAATTTCATGAAAAAATAAACTGTGTTGTTAGTGATGTAGATGAATGCGAGGATTGCATGTGTGACACAATTTGATTTAAGGTTGTGCCATGTCCAATTGCTGAACCGAAACTTCGCCGAATTTTTGCAAGTTCAGTCGAGATAGGAATAAATATGTAGACATGTGAGAATAACATTACATTTAAACAATTAAACATATGAAACAATTTTGCTATCTAGCTCAAAACGAATGAATCATTTTATTAAAAGATTATTTCACCTAAAAGTTTAAATTGATAAGTGAGGCTTGTGAATATAATTTATAATAATTTTTAACATATCATATCAAGTGAAAGCTTCAATATTTGAACTTCAAACTTACACGATTCACATTATGCTTGTGTTTAATATTTAAGAAAATGAAAATGACTAATATCACTCGAACATTTTAATCAACTAAACTCGATACTATATTAAAAAATCATCTCATTTAAAAATTTAAATTAATAAATATAATTTTAAAATATAATTTATAATACTCTCTTATACATTTCGTACGTGGAGGCGATGGTTGTAACTTGTGCGCTTCATGCATGCTGTGCCGTGCATTCTAGGCACGGTGCCAACTGCACAAATTTGAAAATAGGAAAAAGTAGACTTGCGGCGCATCCACCTGCCAGCAGCATCACCGTCTAAGGTGTTGAAAATCCTGTGAGTACATATAGGTTTCATCAACCTGAGAAGAAAAAGGGACCATAGATGTTTCACACAGTAGCTATGTGCAGAGGCAATATGGGTTTGTGTAGCTTTAATTTGCAATTTTCTGGCAAAATTATGAGCATTAAGTCTCACACGTCCATCTTCCTATGATTCAAAATGAACTGACATACATTTTCTGCTTGCTTGTGTGAAAAGTATGAGCCAATTTTTGACCACAAGACTGTTTTAAAAAGTCATGCTCTCGAGCTGAGTGAGTTTAGCTGTAATGCATAAATGACTCGCTAATTAATTCGGTGAATTTCCTGTACATGTTTATCATCCATCGTCGAGCCATGTGCTATCCAACTACAATACTGTTTCACACACAAATTGCCACCACTTTCTTTGAAACACATGCATGAGCTGATTTTGAAACAAGTTAATTTGCATTTATATATCTTCTTTTTGGATTTTTTTTTTTTTTTGCACCGCACATTTGGATATTTAATTATTAGAAATAACAAACAACAGCAAAGAAGCTAGGAGCAGATTGGTGATAATATATAGATATTTTAGTGGTCTATAAAGTCCAATGCGAACCATATGCATGCCAATCAAAAATTGAAATCAAATGATTGATTTGAGAGCAGTAGACCAGTGATGATGAGAATTGCATGACCTTACCTACCATATCAACAAAAAGTTGAAGAAAATTCCATGTTCATATTATCATAATATATGGATTTTAACAAATTAAATCACGCAGATTGAAATCTTCCCAATTCACATTGTGCATGGCGGGCACCTAACGAAAAAAGCATTGTCAAAGGAACCTCGGAAACTGGCACAACTTGAAAAAAAAAAAAAGAAAAAAAGAACTGTACATAATTACATTCTTGGTGAAATACCGTTGAGCTCTCAACAACTCGTAAGGCCTGGATTGAAGCAAATTATGTTGGATTTCTTCAACAAAAAAAGGGTTCCGTGCGCCAATTAATGTAAATTCCAATATAGTAATACTAGTCAAGGTGATCTCTATCCTTATGTGGTCTTAGACAACCATCAAGAAGTTGTGTTGTGATCTCAACGGTAAATTTCGTTGGAAACCATTCAAAAGCAATGGCTATGATCACATCATACTATTTGGGTTCTCTAGATTGGATTAGCACGACAACTAAAAATGAACATTTGTCATCCGTCCAAAAGTAGTTCATTAGTATCACCAACATAAGCCAATTGCTAATTAAGTAGTTGAAATTTACTACAACGTTTTGACCTCTTGCAATTTTAAATTAGTTAATGAAAGTCAATGATCAGATGGTATGGGTCATCTAACATGAGATTGGTCCGTCAGGATTAAAATGGATTGAAAATCGAAATCCACTGATGAAGGTCCCCCAATTCCTATCCCCAAGCTGTTGACAAACTTAAGGACCGCTAAGGGACTCCCTCGAAAAGTGTACCGTTGCAATGCTAAATGAAAATGGAAAATTGGAGAGAGATACAGAGAGACTAGAGTTTAAAACAAAATTCAGAATTTACAAGGCGGTCACCAACAAGCCAACCTACCACTAGTTGCAAGCCGAAGAAGGAAATATTATGCGGTAGAAACATGTCTTTTATCTTTCAGAGGAAAAAAAATTACAGGGAAA